TAATTGTTAAGCTATGAAGTTAAAACTTGTGTTTAATTGGCAATCAGACAAAGAATTTATTAATTTGTAGAGAAGTGTTGGTCTGTAGTTACGTTAAGTAGGATTCATTGTGATGCCTCTGCATTTTATTGCTTCAACTGTTACTTGAAGATGGCATGCTATGTAATTTGGCCTGTGGTATCAGTGATAGAAAGGATACCTCTCTAAAGAAGTGGTTTATCATATGCTGCTGCTTGAGGGCTTGCACTTAATAGAATTGCATTCCCTTCTGTGCCATCTTTTTTTTTTTTAATATATATATGTATATATATAATCAGTCCTGGTTACACTTTTTTTTCCTTCTCTTTGGACCATGATAAACTTCAGAGTAGTGACTTCAGGAGCCAGGGTAACTTAGAGTGAAGAGACATTTACGTGGAGAAGTTAATTTGCATGTATGAGACAGGAAGGTGTCTTCTAGGTATGTGACAGGCTTACTTTAAACCATTTAACTTATGCTCCGAAGTAACTGTAATTTCATGTTGGTAGTATAGCAAATTATGATGAATAGCTTTAATTGTTTGTTTAAAAGTCATGTTCTCAAGCTTAAATCTGGAATCACAATTAAGCAATTGAAATGTATGAATGTCTCCTTAATATACTGATTACAAAGCAAAAAAAATAAATAAATAAAACCGCTCTATAAAAATAAAGTCTTACACAAAATCAATCAGCATAACTCATATTAACAGATTAAAGAAGAAAAACCATGTGGTCATTTCAGTAAATTCCTTTATGATAAAAATCTGTTAATTAGAGTGGAAGGGACCCTGGAAACTGATAAAGCCCCCTTAAAAAAAAATCCATAGCTGACACCATTCGTAATAATCAGAGACTGAAATGATATACCCAAAAATCAAAGAAACATGGCAAGGCAAGGATGTTCACCATTGCCAGTCCCAGACAGCCTTGTGTGGGAGGTCTCAGCCAGCACAGTAAGACAGGAGAGGAAGATAGAAAACTGAATCTGTTGGCAGAAGTCAGAATTGTCTTCGTAGAAAATCCTAAAGAATGTACCAAAAAACCTCTCCTAGAACTGATAAGTAAATTTAGCAAAATTGCAAGATACAAGGTCAATATTCAAAAATTAGTCACATCTCTTTATAATAACAATAGCATCTGAAATTTGGGATTTTTATGAAATACCATTTACTATAACAGAAGACACTTAGACATGTATCTGTGTACAAAATATGTGCAGGATTTAATGCTGAAAACCACTCAATATTGATGAATTCACAAACTGCCCAAATAAATGGAGAGAAATACTGTGTTCATGGATTAGAAAATTCAATATTGTTGGCTTTTGATTGATTGATTGATTCTCCTCAAAGTGATCTGGAATGTCCGTATAATTCCAATAAAATCAAAGCAGGAGTTTTTGTAGAAATTAACAAGCGTAATTCAAAAACTTAATGGAAATTGAAAGCAAAGTAGCCACAACAATTTTGAAAGAGAAAAGCAAAATTGTAGTACTGGCACTCTCTGATTTAAAGCTGCAGTAGTCAGAACAGTGTGGGATTAGCAAAAGGATAGACACAGAGTTCACTGGAACAAAATACGAGTCCAGAAGCAGGCCCACACAGTATATGGTCAATTGGTTTTTAACAGAGATGTGGAAACAAGTCGGTGCAGAAGAGCTAGCCTTTTCAACAAATGGTGTTAGAAGATCCATCTGCAAAAAAAATGGATGAGGACGCCTTGATATGTACCTTGCATATTATGCAAAATTTAACTCAAAATGGATCATAGGACTAAATGTAAATCCCAGAACTATAATGTTCTGGGAGAAGATCAGTGGCCTGTGTTAGGCGGAGATTTCTTAGATGCATCACCAAAGTCCAATCGGTAAAAGAAAAGTTGACAATGCAGAATCCATAAAATGCTCTTTAAAGGACTCTGTTGTGGGGCACCTAGGTGACTCCATTGATTGACTATCTAGCTCTTGATTTCAGCTCTTGACTTCAGCTCTGGTTGTGATCTCAGGGATTAAGCTCTGCATTCTGCGTCATCTGGCTCTATGCTTAGTATTAGTAGGGAATCTGAGGATTTCTCTCTCTCTGCCCCTTCCCCCCACTGGAACTCTATCTTGTTCTCTCTCTCTCTCTCTCAAATAAATAAATCTTTACAAAAAACAAAGAAAAAAGACAACTCTTGTGAAAATAAAAAGGCAAGCCACAGGCTGTCAGAGAATATTTACAAATTGTGTGTCTGAGAAAGGACTTACATCCAAATATATAAAGAACACTCAAAGTTTCAGTAACAAGAAAAACAATCTGGTTTTTAAGGTCAAAAGATTTGAGCGGAACTTAATAAGTAAAATGTGTTTGTATAGCAAATAAATACATGACAAAGGACTGTCCATTGTCATTACTGAAATTTAAGTTGAAACCATATTGAGATACCACTATGTACCTTTTGAATGATTTGTATTTGTTTCCTGTGGCTGCTGTTAACAAATTGCCACAAACTGTGGCTTAAAACAGCAGAAATTATTCTCACACAGTGAATGCTAGAACTCCAAGATCAAGGTGTCAGCAGTGCTACACTGCATCCAGGAGCACTAAGCAGACACTCATCCTTAACCTCTTCCACCGTCTAGTGGCCATTGGCATTTTTTGGTTATGGCCACCTTGCTCCATCTTTACATCAGCTTCTCTGCTGTGTGTCTGTGTCTCTCTCCTCTTATGAGGGCATTTGGTATGTCATTTAGGGGCTGTCTGGGTAATCCAGGATAATCTCAAGATCCTTATTTAATTACATATTCAATTAAGGTAACATTCATAGGCTCTGGGGATTAGTGTGTAGACATAATCTTTTGGGAGGGGGCACCGTTCTGCCCACTGTACAGCACAACCATAAATACTCAGTGCTGGTGCCAGTGGAGAACATCTGAAGTCTCACATGTTGGTCTTGGGAGTGCAAAGTCATATAACCACTTTATAGAAATATTTGGCAATTCTTACAAAGTTAAGCAGACATTTTTTTTGTATTAGCCAACAATCTCTTAGATACTGTTACAAGTAAAATGTGTCACACAAAATGTAAGTGAATGTTTATGTCATCTTTATTCATAATCACACAAAACTAAACAACCCACAGTGTCCTTAAACTGGTAAATGGATAAAGAAGCTGTGGTTTATCTGTAGTGGATTGCTATTCAGCAGTAAAAAGGAATGGACTCTGATACGTAAAACATGCATTATTTCTTGTGCCTTTCCAAATTTAACATAGTTCTACATGGAAGTATCAACATGGTTTTTGTTTTGGAATCGGCAAATTCTTAACATGCATTTGGAAGAATGAAAATGTGAGGCTAGCCAAGAGATTTTGAGCAATACCAATGATTAAGTCACCTCCTGCATATTACAGTCACATTATTGTTGTAATAAATGTGGCAATGTGGGGATCCCTGGGTGGCACAGCGGTTTAGCGCCTGCCTTTGGCCCAGGGCGTGATCCTGGAGACCCGGGATCGAATCCCACGTCAGGCTCCCGGTGCATGGAGCCTGCTTCTCCCTCTGCCTGTGTCTCTGTCTCTCTCTCTCTCTCTCTGACTATCATAAATAAATAAAAATTTAAAAAAAATGTGGCGATGTGATACCAGTGCAAGTCTTATTAAACGCTGTGGATGTTGGCTGTAGCACCTAAGTCAGGGCTGGTACAGAAGTTGATGCTCACCAAGTATTTATTAAATGTGAACAAAGTTTCCATGAATGCTTAAGGAATTTTAGTATGCTTTTTCACATTAGCGGGGAAATGGGAATTTTCTATAAATGTGGTTTGGAAAGTGATCACCATTTGAGAAAAAGTACTGTATCTATACCTGTTCTGTGTAAAAAATAAATTCCAAATGAGTTAAAATACTGGAGGAAAAATATATTAAAAAATCCTAGAATTATGGGCTTGTAAAGAACTTTTAAAGCATGGCTCCAAGTACAAAAGCTATAATAAAAATGTATTTGGCCACACCAGTTATTTACTAAAACCCCTAAACGTTTAAAGAAAAAAAACACCAAAACAAAAATCCTTTCCTTTCCTCTTTTGCATTCTGTTGAAGTTCTGAATGCTGCTACAGGCAGCTGTGAGTGAGAAGTGGCATGTATGTGTGGAATACCTTGAAATAATACCTTTCAAGGAATACCTTGAAATGAAGAGTCCTAATAACGGCTCTTGGGTGTTAGTTGGGTGCCAGGCAACATTGTCAGCCCTCTGCGTAAGCGCGCCCCTCATGGTGGGCCTGGGAGAGACCATGTAGAGGCTCCCCATATCCACAGTAGAATACACAGCTGGTGGGGAGGAAGCAGGGCTGGGCTCTAGTTTGCATTCATGTCCAACTGGCACTCCACTCTCAGGTCTGTCTCTTCACTTGAACTGCAGGCCCATGTTCATAGGCCCCTGACCTCCTGAGGTCCTTCCTCCTCCCATTTCGAGACCCCTTGGCCCACATGCTCACTAAGGCCCATTGGGATTGGGCATCTCATTCTACTTATAATTGCTTTCCTGTAAAGAGTAGATTATAATGATTGAGCTTTATGTGGTAGAGTGACTTACACTTTTTAAGTAGGAAGCAATGTTGGTTTCCCAAGAAAAACTATATGGAACAAATATAGGCCTGTTGGTTATCAACATCCCAAATGGCACATAGTATAGTATGCCCTATAATTCAGGGATCAAATCTCCTTTTGCTTCCCAGATTTTCTGGTAGAGACCTGCTTTAGTATAATGGGTATAAAGAGCTTAGAAGGTTTGGGAGAATGGGAAGAAATCACATGTAATTTCTCTCCTGACACAGTAGGCCTGTGGATTTCAGGTCCTGTTGCTGCTTCCCAGCAAGCTTGTATTACACCCTCTTCCTATCTCTCCAGAAATATTGATATAATCATTTATGTAGTTATAATGTGTCTATCTACATGCTGATAGGGATGAAATTATAATAAAATTAACTTGCTTTGTTTCAAGATTTGAAGGCCATATAGAGATCTGCCCACCAGGCATGAGTCATTCAGCTTGTTCGGTCAACAAGAGTGTTCTAGAAGCTATCCGAGGAAGACTTGGATCTTTTCATGAACTCCTGCTTGAGCCACCCAAGGTAGGGCAGCTGCCTTAAGCATGGCCGGGTCATGGCTGGCCAGGTCAATAATTTGGTTCAAAGAATTAATAGAAAATATATGAACCTTGTGGGTAATAGAATGGGCTACAACCAACATGTACAAACTAGCCCTTCCAGTTGTTTTTATCATTTTTGAGCTAGTTTTTAATTTGCTTTTGTCTATAGTGTCTGCATTGATGAATGAGGTAAAATTAAAATTAGGCAAAATATTTATCTACTTAGGAAACTCAGCTTTTTGTTCTTTCTTTTTATGAATCCTGGGTACTTTTATGCCAACAAAATAAAGTTATCTTCTCATAGTGTGTTATTTTCACCTTTGAGGTAGTCAGTCTTTTAGGAACTGATCTCTGACACTGAGTTGCCTTATTTAGAGTTGGAGTGGTGTATCAGTCTAATGGGCAGGTATCTTATTTAAGGACAAGTCGGCTGAGCCTGACTTGGAGTGCTAGTTTTTCCATCAGGAGCCATCCACATGCTAATCCAACAGTGACTTTAATCTGGCAGTCTGCTCTGAGCACAGATGATAGACAGTGAGGCCCCACAAAAGATAGTTATTCACAGGCTGTTCTGCTGCTGCTCCCCAGGATTGGTGTAGGGATTTAGATAGGGTAAGAAGCTCTTCCTTTGAGAGTCTCTGTTGAACACTTGGCTGTGAGAGGTCCCCTGCCAGCACCAGTTCTCATGCTTTCCTTTTTCCTCTGTCCCGTGTCATCACAACCAGTGGCCTAGCTGTTGTAGTGCGTGTCTCTGTAGCATCTGCTGTGCATGGTATTAGGAATTTAAGATACTAGTTTCTCCCTTCCACAGTAGATGCTTTATGTGTTTTTTTGGCATTTGTGGAGGGGGACCATAGAATAACTTATGTCCATGATGCAGGGCATCTAGGTTAGCTTCTAGACGGCCTCTTCAGACAGCCGGTGCTACCCTGCCTGTGTTGTGCAGTTTTGTCTGTGTTCAGCCAGTTCTGGGTGTGGGCCAGCGTGTTTGGCATTCACTCTCAGGCACAGTGCCTCAGCTGGTATTTCATAGTTAGAGTCAGTGGCATCCTTCATGGCAGACATGAGAAATAGAATGGGAGAGTAAGGAAAGAGAAAGAAAGTATTTATTTAGATGAAGAGAGAATATCCCAGGTGGAAATTGGAGGTGGGAGAAGGAGCCATGAGAGAAGAGGATGTGTGAGGAGGTGCTCCAGCCTGTGTCTTCATGGCCTGCCTGTTTCTTTCTAGGTGGACAAAAAGGCAACACCTAGTGTGGATTCTTAGCCACACTAGGTGGGTTGTTCTTGGCCCTGATTCAAAAGCAAGGCAGTCTCTCGTTTGGGTTTCTTGTCTTCTGCTAGGAGTCTGTGAGTTCAGTTTGTATGTAGTTTTACCACATGATGTGGTATATGTGTAGGTTCCTGAAACCTTTTAACATGTCTGTTAATTGGAGGTGCCTTGCATGGAATACAAGGGGGAGCCTTCCAATTCCATTAAAGCCTTGAGAGGAGCAGGCAGGGGCATGGGGAAAGGTCAGGCTCACTGCTGGGTTAGAATTTGCCACCTTTTCCTGTCAAACCTGTGAAATTCTGAAGTGTCCTGTATCTGTCTTCTGTGATTTAAAGTATAGAGACTCCCTTTTATTATGGGCAAGAACAAGTTTGAAGTTGATCCTGTTTCAGGATCATGATCCAGAAGCAACTTCTGAGTTTGCATTTTTCTCACGGATTTTGCAAAGATTGAGAATTGTGTTCCAAACCACTTGTAACTTGTCTTAGTTCCAGGATTTCTGGTTAGGTTTGGAATATTGCACTTTTTCTCCCCATGAACTTCTGCAGCTTCCTGCTCTCTTCCTCTGGCAGTTGGAATGTTGAAGCAGGGGGATACCTGATCTCCTGTGGAATTTCTAGTCCTGGGGAATTCCTTGATTCCCCCTCTTGGTTATTTCATCATATCTTGAAGATCTCAAAAGCAGCTTTGGATTTTCCTTCAGATGTGGAACTCGGGCCACATGATTTGCAGGGTTAGTTTACCTAGTGTTACGTATTAGTACACACCTCTCCACCCGTTTGGTTTCTTACGGAACTGGATTTGATTGGAAAGCTTTTTCTTCCTCAGAAAAGTGTGATGAAGACTACGTGGGGTGTGCTGGACCCTCCGGTGGGAAATACCCGATTGAATGTGATCAGGTTGATATCCAGCCTCCTTCAGACAAACACCAGCAGTATCAATGGGGACCTCATGGAGCTGAATAGCATTGGGGTTATATTGGTAAGATTTCCCCCAAATGATAGTTTAATTTGCCCGTGATGTTTTATGGACAACTGAAGTTAAAATCTCACAAATTTACATACGTGTCTGTGACTCTTGTTTTGAGCGCAAATGGTCTTTTACATAGTTTTTGCCTTGAGTTTATCGTCAGTTTCTAATGCTTTTAAGTTTTCCGTATTTATTATTTCAAAGATGATTAAGACATAGACTTCTTCAAGAAGCTCAGGTTGGCACAGATGGATCGAGTATAGCCCTCTTCCTGAGGGGGTCATGTTAGCAATAAATGACTGCTGTTACAGCATCATTCTTTGGTCCTAATTAGCAAAGGGACAAGTGTTTATAGTATTTCCACTGACCTAGATCTGTATAATGTATCTGTATGTGATCTTGTGATTTGAGTCCAGACCCTTCCTTGATACACACAGCTTTGGGTCTGCTTGTTAGTGGAGGCAGCAAGGGGAGCTCAGGGGTTATCTGGACTTCCCCGACCCTTAAGTCCCCCCGTTCCAAGGTTTGTGTTTAGAATTTGGAGGCCCAGCTCTCGTACCCGTGCTTGCCCGGTCTGTCCTGCCACCCCACAGCACAGGAGGCACCACGGCTAACACAGGTTTCATAAGACATCTGGTCATACCGTACATTTGGGTGGGTTTGGTTTTCATACTACATGAAAGAAAAGCATGGTACTGTGCACTTTAAATGCATTGCTCGTGTGATGCTGGGTATAAATGTCTGTGTGAGAGAGAGGATCTATTTTGCAGATTGTGCCCAGAGAAGGGGATACATTCTATGGCTAATAAGTGGTGGAGCCAAGATTTGAATTCACATTTAGTTTCAAACCAGTGCTTGCTTTATCAACCACACTGTTATGCCACCTGGTGTCTTTAGTTATTTTTAGTTATATTTCACCTTTGGGTTAAATCATGGCAGTTATAGGGATAGAAAGCAGGAACATGTTGGAGCAATATAAAACATTAAAGGATCACAGTCTCTTTGGTGAACTTAACTGTTGTCCTCTGAGGTAGGGTATTTTTGTTTGCTCTACCTTCTGTCTGATATATAAACTCTACTCCTGTCCCTGAAGTCGTCAATTACTGGCCTCTAATCTTACTGATAGTAAGTGTACAACTATTGTTAATTTGCTAATTCATTCCATCCTTAATCTTTAGAACCACTTTTGAGTCACAACAAATTTGATAAAACTCCTAAATGGGTCGTTAGTCATTACAGTTTTATTTTGAATTTAGATAACCAGACTCAAAGAATGTTCTGAATATATACTTGATGCATTTTGTGCTTTTAGGAATTGTCTTTCCTTTTTGTGGTACTATCAACTTTTCAAGCAATCTGGAAAACCCATGTACTTTCAGGAGGTCCACATGTCATTGCTTCTCAGACCCCTCTTGCTTTGCTCCATTCACTGATAGTTACAGGAGTTTCAGATGCCTGAGTGGTTATAACTGAGTGGTTATTGACACTAGGGTGTGAGTACCTTGAGATTGGAGACTGTCTCCGTATTGCACCTAGCACCATGCCCTGCACAAAAGCCATCAGTAAATATTTGTTGAATCAAACAAAGTAAGTAAAAGTCTTAAAATTTTATTGGAAAAGTGTCGGAAGTTTACTGAACTTACTAATACCTGTGTCAGTTGCCTGGAAAATATAAGAAGATACTCTCTCATTGGGGAACTTACCATTGCCTTCCCGTTTTCATTGTTGTTTATACTAGATTCCATGCAAATGCTGGCATGTTGAAGGAGCAAACATCATGCTACTTTGTCTAGTGGCATTTCAAACCCCTTTTAAAATAAACTCGTGTTCTTTTTAATTATTCCTATTGGACTAAGAACATATCGTTTTTATTTTATTAAATCACTGTTCTGGAAATGTATTAAAATAGTGGATTTAAACATCCTAGTAACTGGATAAAAGAAAGCCTTGTTTTTCTTTTTTGTAGGACATGTTCTTCAAATACACATGGAATAACTTTTTACATACACAAGTGGAAATCTGTATTGCACTGATCCTTGCAAGTCCTTTTGAAAATACAGAAAATAGCACAATTACTGATCAAGACTCCAGTGGTGACAATTTGTTACTAAAACATGTAAGTGTACTGGGCTGGTTTCTACCTCTCCTCGTTATAGCATTCTCCCACTTCAGCATGAAATGAAGTGGAGTTTAAGGGCAGGGAGTTAAATCTCAGAGTCCAAGGGGATCCCTGGGTGACTCAGCGGTTTAGCGCCTGCCTTCGGCCCAGGGTGTGATCCTGGAGACCCAGGATCGAGTCCCACATTGGGCTACCTGCATGGAGCCTGCATCTCCCTCTGCCTGTGTCTCTGCCTCTCTTTCTCTCTCCCCCTGTCTCTCATGAATCAATAAATAAAATCTTTTAAATAAATAAATCTCAGAGTCCAAATATTTAACTCCTGTGTTCTTCACGCTGTTGGCCAGTGATTCTATAAATCACATCCTGGAAGAAGTCTAAGCGGCCTCCTTATTTGGTAAAAACAATTGAGTTGAAGATTTAGAACTTTTTTGGAGATTAAAAGACCTATAAGAATTTAGAAAAAAAAAAGAATTTAGAGAGTGCAGAAAGTGTTTGGACAGCTGTTTGGCGTACCAGTTTTAATTTGTGGGCTGAACTCAGGACAGAAGGGTAGCAGAAGTGGGCTCCGTGCAGCGTTGTGAGGACCTCTTCTGTGAGTCTGTTTCCTTTCGTTAAATAGGTGATTTCATTAAGGCAGTCTTCACATTTCTTTTTGCTCTCAAGTTCTGTGGTTGTATCAGATTGCCTAGCTCACAGTGGGTTACTGCCAAACCTGGGAGGTGGGAGAGGCTAGCCCTCTGGAGTAACAAAAGGGAAAGACCACCGACGCTGGGTAAAGCTAGCAGCATACGTGCCGAAGCATAGATAGCCCGTGGCGCCCATGTGCAGTCGGAACGCAGTAACCATAGTCACTCCCTGTGCAGGAGCAAGTGTTCCTCATGTTTCAAAAGTACAAGTATTGCTGTGGATTCTGTGCTGCATTTTTGCCAGGGCGTAACCTTCTTTATTCCTTTTAAATTTGGGTCAGGCTCTATTTCCGAGCTCAATTTTCATGGCTAATAAAACATGGCTTTGCTTTAGGTCAGCTACTTGCCAGAAGCGGTACTTGAAATGTTTCTTGCTTCTCAGTCGCTATACTGTTGAAGGTGTGGATCCAGTCTTGAATCCCTGTAGTGTTCTGACGGCCTTGAGTAAATTTATTATCACGTTGCATATGATATAGCCAATAATTCACAACTAGCTTTAGCTTGCTGGGTAATACATATCACTGTTCTATTTGAATTGAGTTCTGTTTCACTTTAAATTTTTGGCAGTTGGACATTTATATACATGTTAACTGGAATATTCCTTTTTATTCAGCTTTTTCAAAAATGTCAGCTAATAGAACGGATACTTGATGCCTGGGAAATGAATGAGAAGAAACAGTAAGTACACTGTTTTCCTATAGAAATTCAGTGTGATTTTTAATTTGAAGAAACTATCTGCCTTACCTTAGAGAACAGTGAAAATAATGATGTGATACAGGCCACTCTATGGTTATAAATAGTTCTCTCAGGACTTCCGGATTATTTATCATAGCAGATCTTTTTCTAACAATTTTTAGATTGCCTGGTCTTTCTACCTCTCTTGAGGGGGAACCCAGGGGCTGGCTGCTTTTGAAACTTCCTGGTCCTATTTGAATAGCTGTTTTTCTGGCAGGAGTGAGAAGTCTAAAGAAAAAAGTCATAAAGTCAAGTCCTCCTTGACGATGCTTTAACTTAGCAGGTTTGTCCCTTTTACCCCCCGGACTCACTGGAAAGAGTCCCTTTGTGCATGGGAGGAGAATGTCGGGGGAATTGCCTAGTGTTTTTTGTTTAGAAAATTTCCATTAGCTGATTGACAAGATTACTTGGAGTATTGACACATGTAAGCAGCTTTGCCTATAGATTTTTTTTTCTTTCTTGTGCCTGTGAGGCTTTTATGCCATCCCATAGATTCTGAGGTAGATAGGGTACGTTTGGGAGACACTCTCAGGCCACGCTTCTTGCATTTGTTTTCTAAATCAGGTTTGTTGAGGTATAATCCTCAATAAAGTGAAAGCTCATCCTTTTTTGGTATACATTTCTAGGAACTCTGATGAATGCATGCAGTTGTGTAAGCACCTCGGTCAGGCACAGCTTATTTCCATCAGCCTAAAAAGCTATCCATGTGCCTTTATAAGTGAACCTATGCCAGGGGTTTTCTTGCTCTGTGTATCTGTTCCAATTCCTCTTGTGGACTCTAGGAGAGACCTAGGAACTAAAGGGATGTGTCAGTTTTATTTTGTAAGGTTTGTTTTAAAAGTGCTCCCAAGCACTGGTGGGGCTCTAATGACTCTGTGGTAAACCTGATTGAATTTGAATGTAGCAGGGGGCTCATCTCAGTAGACTTCAGGTACATTCTTTCAAATGGATCTCCTTTGGGGGTGCTGTGTGTGGCTAGGTCGACATCTCTGGTTATGTGTTTGATCCTTTGTTAGCCCCATGTGCTCTATTTCCCCCTGAGCTCCATCTTCTGGAGGTTCAACTATTAATAGTGCCCGATTTGGGGGCTCCTGACCAGAGTTTTTCTAATGTTTCCTTGCCCCAGGAGCCTAAAGAATATCGATAGCCTTGGGGCAAAACATTGGCAGGTGGGCATTTGTTTTTACTCACGCGCTTGTGGGAGCATGGTACAGTAGTAACTGACTGAGAAGGTGCATGAGAGGAACACTGGGGTCTTGGGATCTTATTGTGAAACCAGAAGAGCCTCTTAGCAACTCATTTGAGATCAACTCAGTGCCTCTGACCCTTAGCTGTCCTGACCCTCTATGATGATTAGCAGATATTCTTCCCCCCCACACATAGGCAAGCCTTCAAGTGTAGTATGGGTTGTTTTTTTTTTAGCAGCTCCTGAAAGGTTCTCCCTTTAAACAAAAATCTGTTCAGTTTGTTGCCTCCTATCTGCAAGCAAAAGTCTGTTGTTTCATAGAATTTAAAGCCCTGGCACTTTATAAATAGGCAGAGAAATCACAGCAGTGTGAAAAGTTTATCTAAATGGGCAGATTTGGGGGGCGCCAGGGTGGCACAGTTGGTGGAACATTCAACTCATAGTTTCACTCAGGTTGTGATCTCGGGGTGGTGGGATCAAGCTCCACATTGGGCTCTGCGGTCAGTGAAGAGTCTGCTTGAGATTCTCTCCCTCTCCTGTGGCCCTCCCCAGTCTCATAAGTAAGTAACTAAATAAATAAATAAATCTATCTTAAATAAATAAATGGATGGATTTGAGATGCCTGTGTGGCTCAGTCAGTTAAGCCTCCAACTCTTGATTTCAGCCAGGTCCTGATCTCAGGGTCATAGGATCAAGTGCTTCATGCTGGGGGTGGAGCCTGTTTAAGATTCTCTCTCTCCCTCTCCCCTCCCCCTCTATCCCCAAATAGGTAGGTAAGTAGGTAGATTTAGTGAAGATGGGTCCTGGGTGGGAAGGGTATACCCTAAGTGGGGGGAAGGGATAGGGACTCATTGATGTACATGTGAGTACTTGGCCCCCAAGTGCAGTGCGGGCCAAATACCAACTGACTGACTACCTCATATTGGCCAAATCTCAAAATCAGCCACTATTTTAACTTGAGAAATGCCACTGGTAGGCAATTATGTTGTTAATTGAATTGATGTGATGAAGATTTGATGTCTTTTAGCACAATTCTCACCTTAATGTTCCTACAGTCTTTTTAAAGTCTGAAAAATAGTTTCACGTAAAGAAACTATACGAAGGAAAGTCACAGAAACTTAGGCATCAGTGAATGGGCTTCTTTTCTAATCTTTTTAAAAGTAATTTGTAATTGAAGATCACTGATTGGTTTGTGTATAGAATAAACCTTGCCCATTGTGACCACCATGTGGTCCTTGAGCAGAGCATTTCTGCCACCCCCACCCCTGCCTGACCTTGTGACTCTGGCACCTCCTTTTCTGTCCATTCTCATCTTTAGGGCCTCAGATTTTAGAACGATTATTCCAGCTCACTGTACTTACCAAGCTGCTTCATCACTCTATCCGATCAGGAGTCTGAGTATTTTGTCCTTTCCCCCTGTCAGGGCTGAGGGAGGCAGACGGCATGGCTACATGGGACACCTGACAAGGATAGCTAACTGTATTGTGCACAGCACTGATAAGGGCCCCAACAGTGTGTTAGTCCAGCAGCTTATCAAAGGTAAGTGGTTTATGAAAATTTAATTATGTTTTTGTTGGATTGGAGAAAGGATTTAAGGGTAAATGGAAATGTTCATGGCATTTTTTTAAATAGCAGTCTACGGAGTTTTCTGTATACTTGGCAAATTATCTGGAAATTTGAATGAAGTTCTCGAGAATATGTTTGAGCAGTGTCATTCTTTGCTGTATGTCTGTAGTCCTTTTAGTAGGTATTGGCAGGCTCGGCCAAGTTAACTTCTCTCTCTTTCTTCTCTCTTCTCTCTTCTCTCTTCTTTCTCTGTCAGAGCCTGCTCAGTACACTGCTCTGGTGTGCATGAGGTCCCCATAGGCTGACAGTTGAGTCACTTGAGCTATGATCACACTTGCTTTTTATTTTCTTCTGAAAGCCCCTGCATTGCCTGTGGATTGAGTTCCTTTAGCTGGGATACTGAAACATTTATCCACATGTTTGACATCTCTCTCTTACTAAGATGAGGGAAAATGGACCTTAAAGGATGCTTTCTATACCAGTATTTAAATGTAATCAGTCCAAGGTTGCTGGGAAGAAAATGCAGATGCCTTTTACTAGTGCCCAGGCTGTGAGTCTGTCTCCTCTAAACCAAGAGCCCTAAGATCTCTGTGGACTCTGGGGTTTGGACCAGTCCTGTGACTTACTGTGAGTGTGAAAATCTTTAACCTCTGTGGTACCAAATTCGTCCAGATTCAACTTGCTAAAACTGGATGTTGTTTCCCGGTCTATCCTTCTATTTGTCTTTAAAGAATATCTGTGTGTTTGAGAGGTTAACCTGTCGAGCACATACTGAAAGAGTTGCTCCAAGTGAGGGAGCAATTGGGGCTTGCCCTCCCGTAATTTTGCTTCTTGAGAGAGGTACAAGCCAGACCATCACAGTTGATGCTCTTACCAAGGAGAAATGGCCATGTGTGTGATATGTTCTTTAGATTAGGCTTTGTTTTACAGAAACTGCTTACCAGGTAATGGGGGAGGTACACATACGCATGTGTGTTGAAACCATTTGTCAGAGGATAACTCTAGGAAGGCCTCCAAGATTATAGCCAGGGTTTCTTTTTCTCAGAAGCATTTGCCTTTTCCTTTCTTTTCCTCTCCTCTCCTCTCCTCTCTCCTCTCCTCTCCTCTCCTCTCCTCTCCTCTCCTCTCCTCTCCTCTCCTCTCTTTTCTTTTTTCTTTTCTTTTCTTTTCTTTTCTTTTCTTTTCTTTTCTTTTCTTTTCTTTTCTTTTCTTTTCTTTTCTTTTCTTTTCTTTTCTTTTCTTTCTTTTCTGGTTCTCTATAGAGGCACCTGGGTGGCTCATTCAGTTAAGTGTATGCCTTTCTGCTCTGGTCATGATTTCAGGGTCCTGGATTGAGCCCTGCATTGGGCTCCCTGCTCAGCAAGGAGTGTACTTCTCCCTCTGTCTCTCCTCCTTGCTTGTGCTCGCTCACTCACTCTCTCTGTCTCTCTCTTGCTCTCTCAAATAAAATATTTTAAAATAAATAAAATTTCTCTAGAAGGTAGAATTTCACTATTGCCTATGTATCTAGAGGCTGGCCAGTGGGCACAGACATCTAGGAAACAGCAGACTGGGTTCCATGGAGCATTCACTGGCTAGATGCCAATCATGGTATCTGATGAGTGTATAGGAGCTTGCATTGGTAGCATTTCCTAAACTTGAATGATCATGGAAGAAGAAGGCTTTTCCTCCTACCTTAAAGACCTGCTAACTCCTCAGAAGTTTGTTAGAAACACATTTTCCAGGTTTAGTTTTTACCAAAAGATTTTTAAAAGCTTGTTAAATTCACAGAGCTGCTTAGCACCCTTGGCATCAAGCATGAGCCATTTTGGGGGTGGTTCTAGTTCCTGAAATTCCTGGGGCTCTTGCTGCAAGGCTTTATAACTCTGTTTCTCTAAGAGTCGGTGCTCAGATGATGGGACATGTTTGCCTTTGATGGACCGATTGGGTGGCACTCTCTTATATGTCCTGTTTATGTGTCTGTGTGCAGGTCACTAGAGTGACAATGCCTTTTTTTCTTTCTCCCTCTGCAGACCTTCCAGACACAATCAGGGAGCGATGGGAGGCGTTCTGCGCAAGCTCCTTGGGAGAAACTAACAAGAGGAACACGGTAGATCTAGTAGGTTTTACCAGGTCACATTTCTGTGACCCCAGTGCTCTCAGCCTTTGCCTGCTTATTCAGAAAAAGATGCAAGATCTTTCGTTTATCTTGGTAATTTGGGGCCAAGGATAAGTTCATGTTTCTTTGCCTGGAAGAGAGGTCAGTGTTCATCCTATTCTTGATTACTTGTCTAGTCAGCTCCTAATTCCTGCCTGGGTTGAATCAGAGGGTACAGAGAGGCCACTGTCTCTACATTCCCGCCTCCACAGTGCCCTGTTCCCTAAGCACCTCAACAAAACCACTGCTAACCTACTCTGTTGGCTTCGTTGCTTTATGCCTCAGATAAGCCTGGTTGGTTAGAATCCTCAGGACACCTTTGGATGTTTTCTAACTTTACTGAGTTGAGTTTACCTTCATTTTAAATTGTTCCCAGGGTGAGGGCGTGGGGTGGGATTTTGTAGGTGACTTTGAAACCCCACCTTTAACAGATAAGTGCTTCAGCAGATTAGCCAGGGAATAATGGCATTGATAATATTTTTTAAAATTATATTGGACTTTGGAATGTATTCTTTGTTTTTTTTAATGCATTAGGATTTAAGGTAAGTATTGCTTTTGCTTTTGCTTTTAAAGATAGGGAAAAGCATTTCTTTCATAAGCACATGCCAGCTGATAATTGAGGTGGTGGCCTTAACTCTACATGGCAATAGATGTGTCAGACATTTAATTCTATGATTGAAATTCAGCAGCTACAGTCTGAATTTCTAATACACATTAATGCCTTGCTTGTTAGGCAGTCAGGTATGTGGCAGCCATATCAGTTCAGAGCAGAATTTAGAAACCGAAACACTGTAATAGCTACAGAGCAGTCACTAGGTCTTCCTGTGTCACACCCCCAGCGGGGCTGTTGCCTCCTACTTGGTAGATTGTCTAACACATTTGGTTATCTTTTTCTAGACTCTTCACAGTTTGGTTGGGTAATGGCTTGTTAAGGATAGGTATAATGATAGAATCAGTAAGAGTTGGAAGAATTATGAAGTTAAAAGGTGACTATAAGGGAAGTTGTGTGAAGCCATTTAATTAAAATAGATCTGATGGCCCTTGGTGTCTCAGTGCATCATAGCCCAGCAGAGAAACTGGCATCCACATTGACAGCCTTGAGTCATCAAGGAAGAGTTAATTTTTGATGAACATATTATCCACAGTGGGTTGCTTTTTTCCCCCAATCAAATTGGTTAAAATTCTGGATAATCGGGATTTTATTGTAAGGTGAAATTGCTCTCTTCTACTGTTAAATTGAACCATTTTAATTAAGAAGCCACATTTTGATTCTTTGCTAAGGATGCAGGCAATGTGGCCTCCTTAAAGGGATTTTTGCCTTATTTCTTATTTAAGGGAATATTTAGGAATATTAATTCTGATTTTGTTTGGGGAACTTCTTTAAAAGTTGTACCTTCAAAGAATTGACTTCAGAGGTAGACTTCAAAAATGTCCAGTTAAACTTGTTATATCAGGAGTTTCAAAAATGTCTTTATCCTTGGTAATTCAAACTGATTTCTCTTGTGAGCAGTTCTGTATAAAGAAAGACTTCGTTGCAATTCATATAATAGCTACTTTTCATGATGCTATCAGTAATCTGGTCCATAACTGTGCATAGTTGTTATGTTTAGCTACATGATAGAATATGGACATGCAGTGCAGAATTAATGTGTAGCAGCCCTTTGAGTCTAGATCTAGACTTTTATACCTGTGTTGAAGATCTAGACTTTTATACCTGTGTTGAAGAATTAATGTGCAGCAGCCCTTTGAGTCTAGATCTAGATTTTTATACCTGTGTTGAAAATTATCCTGGGCCAACCTACCACAAATGGCTGTTTTAGTTCTCTTTGCTAAAAGTTGTCAGACTTGTAGAGCCTGTGTTGAGTTAGCCCCACTCTGTAATTTTGTTGTCTGTGGGACTTTCGGGTTGATGTCTCAAGACCTGTTCAGTTCCTTGATCCCACATGTCTAGTACTTATACCACCTTCTTTGAGTTTTAAGGCCTCCCAGGAGGGAATTTTACTCTGTGTAGTATTTTTAGGGGTACATAGGTTCTGGGTTTTTGAGGATGTTCACATATCCTAGGCCATGAGGGAAAGTTTCCCTGCAGCCTCCAGGCTTTCCATTTTTGGACCCAGAATATGTCAGGTTATATCCTAGGGGGTTGGGTACCACGTGCCAGTGAATATTATTATAAACACAACTTGGTAAATGTAGTGAGTCCTGCCCTTGTGAAAACTTCTCACAGAAAGGGTGCTCATCCATATAACGTAGCACAAAATCTAAGTAAAAGCGTTTCAGACATTTTCATTCTTAAAATTGACAGTTGAGTAATAGATTGCTTAGTTCCTGTTCCCTCCCTAAATAGATATAGATTAGACCCCCTGTCTTGATGCCTTAACTTACTAGCTGTTTTTATGATGGCTCAGACACCTCTCTGGGAGTCATTTCCAGTATATTCATAGGACTTGAGTCAACCTTGGGGCAGCCCGGGTAGCTCAGCGGTTTAGCACCACCTTCCGCCCGGGGAGTGATCCTGGAGACCCGGGATCGAGTCCCACATCAGGTTCCCTGCATGGAGCCTGCTTCTCCCTCTACCTGTGTCTCTGCCCCCCCGCCCCCCCCCCCGTCTCTCTCATGAATAAATAAATAAATTCTTAAAAAAAAAAAGGACTTGAGTCAACCTGTAATTCAGCACCATATACTTGGGCTGATGCTTTGTCATATGGCCCTGGCTTCTTCTTATGTTCTAGTCATGGCAAGGATTCGTTTATTAATTCATTGAACACTACTGGCTGTGGGCCAGAGGTCTTGCACACTTATGTCGGGAAAGCTATGCCAGTCCCAAGCTCTTAACACTTCTGGGACAGCTTTTTAATTACCCTCTGTCTGAGGTCTTTGAAGTACTTTAATCTGTTGACCTCATCACACCCAAGTATTATATATACAGTAGACTCATAGATTGCTTATGTTTTTAATTTGGGAGTTTTATTATATTTATTATTATTATTATTTTAAAAATTTTATTTATTCGAGAGAGAGAGAGAGAGGCAGAGACACAGGCAGAGGGAGAAGCAGGCTCCATGCAGGGAGCTTGACGTGGGACTCAATCCTGGGTCTCCAAGATCACGCCCTGGGCTGAAGGCAGCGCTAAACCACTGAGCCACCTGAGCTGCCCTGGGAGTTTTATTATAGATGAAATTTGGTGTATTACTTACCATTAGAGACCTCTCTGTGGGTGTGTTGGTAAAAATTGGTGAAGAATTAGACAGTATATCTAGGTAACATAGGAGATGTCTTGGTATTGACTTTGGAAGGCAGAGTTTGCTTTGTTGTCTCCCTTCCTCTCCATGGGGGGAGAATGTGTTTTCTAAAGTACTGGTGCTTCTTTCACATCACTGATGAGATTGTGTAGAATGATACACATATGCAGTTGTGGATTGCCTACATATCCCACAGGTTGGGGTGGAACCTCCCAGAGTTTATGTTCTAGGCAGCTCTGGTCATGGAGGTGCCCGGGGCCCACAGCAGGACCCCACTATAGCCAGGAGGAAGAATCTGTGACTTCCTCGTTTCACTTAGGTTAACTTCAATCATGCTTACGATCTTCTTAGTAATCCAATCCGCCAAGATGAAGAATCACTCACTTATTTTTCCTGTAATTACAGTTTGTAAAACTTAAATTTTATTATGAAAGAAGGGAACATCTCAAAAGTATCAAGAATATACTTAGGACACATCTGGCTTGGTCACAGTTCTTATATACTTGTTATTTTTTTGAAAATTATGATTGTGTTCTCATTCAGTGATTTGTTGGTATTCATTAATTCAATAAATATTTGAGTGGCTACTGTGTGCCATGCTTTGAAGCTGTTATAGTAAACTTGATTGGCAAAAATCCCTGCCTCGGTGGAAATGGATAAACAAATGGATGGATAAACTCCAGGGGAAGGAGCCAGGATTAGTTTTGGGTAGATGTGCAATTTAAGATTATGTAGCCTAGGAAAACCTCATTGAGAAGGAAATATTTGTGTAGAGGCTTGCGGGAAGTGGCAGGGAAAGAGCTAGCTAGTAAGAAACTGGCATATTGTCCAGAGGGACAGAACGGGATGTAAGGTCCTAGGGGCTCTGCAGGCCAGATCTCATACTGCTTTTAATCCACACAGGAGCCTTGGGTTGTAACCTTAGTAAGATGAAAAGCCATTAGGTACTGAATTAAGAAAGGATATAATTTATAATTTGATGGACATTTTAAAGGATTATTATGGCTGCTAGATTCAGATTAGACTGTAGAGGGAGTGAGAGGTCTCAGCAAGGAGACTGGTTGGCTGCCAAGAACAAGTGTTAATCTAGATGAGATGATGGTGGCTGGCACTGGAGAGAGATGACCAGAGAGTGATGAGAAGTGATAGGCTTTTAGGCTGTGTTTTGACAGTGGAGTGAGTAGATTTGGGTGGGACAGAAGAAACTAGATGGCCAAGATTTTAGCTGAGGAAGGAGAAAACAAGTGACATCTGAGATGAAGATGCCTCAGAAGGAGTGTGTTTAGAAGTTTAGGTCAGGGACGCTGGTGGCTGCATCTGTGTAGTGAACTCAGTGGCATTCTAGTTAGCAAGTCCCTCTCCCCACAGGGGTGTGGTGGATCCAATCATCTTTATAGCCTGTTTTATTAGTAATGATTTCAGGCCAGGTATGGTGTGGGTAGAATCAGAATCACCATATATTTTAATACATAAATGCAAAAGTGTATATGTACTGTGTTATTACTAACTTTCTAAAACTTCCTTTTTGGAGAAAAAATTATTTTAACCTCTCAGAATTGCTTTGAGAATACAAATTATGGAGACTATGTGAAAAGGGGTCACAGTGTCTGACATATAGTAGTTGCTCAACAAAAACTAGTTTTTTACCTTTCATTAATGAACTGATTTATAGCAAAGAGTAAAACTATATGAATGAGGAAACATTGTATCCTTTTTGAACTTGGACAAGACATGCTGAGAGTAACCAAATCTTTTTGTTGTTGTTGTTCTCTGTTGTTTAGTTGACCTAGTTTGCTCTTTGAGTTGTCTTGTGGTTCTGTACCCTACCATGGGGTTGCACTCCTAAAACATACACTGGCTTAGTATGATTCTTATACTAACTTGCCTTCCAAGTAGCCCGGAGTTCCTTTAAATCCACTGCAGTAGAATGGCATAACCTGTTCTTGATTGCAGTTCTCCTGTAAGGTGCCAGATGCCATGACCAAGCAGTATCTGCCTCTTCCCTTCTGCATTCTGGCAGGGCTCTCCTGGAATGTCTACATCTGCACATCTTTCCCCACTAATTTGCTAAACCAGTAACTGACCCAAGCAGGTTCCCTTCATTGGTCACAAATTCTGCCTTTGACTTCATCAGGCCAGTTCCCGAATCACGGTGTGAATGCTATATTCATCCTCAGAGAAGAGGGAGAGGGAATTAATTGGAAATACTGGATTAGTCACTTGGCATGGTATCTTTACCAAAAATGGTCAAAGGAAAAATAGATTGATTTTATTCCGGCAGTGATGTATTCAGAATTTCATCAGCCATACCACACACAGACCTATTTGGATTCTATTATGGGTTTCTTGAACCAGTGTTGGAACATCATAAAGCAAACCAGGCCAGTTTCTGTAGCTCCAGGCTCTTAGGCACAGACAGCTTCAAGGGTTGGCAGGTGCCAGCCGCTCATGTCTTCCCATGGTGACAGTGCTCTCTGCCAGTCACACTTCTATAAGAGTAAAGGGTGAATAACTCAAAGTACAGTATTAGTTACTCTTAGAAGTACAGTTGCTTGTTTTAGAATTTTGCAGACTGTTGATATTTTTACTTGCTGTATAGCAGTGGCCGTTGCTTGTGCTCTGCTTAGTCACTTACATGTCTTTATTTTTAATAATATATTTCCCCAATACTATGTGTCATTTATGAATTAATTAAAAATCACTTACTGTATATTAGTGAGCAGTTTATGTTTGTGTTCTTAATTACTGTGAGTTGGTTGTAAGTCTTGAGGGCAGGGGGTAATTTTAAGGGGCAGAAGATTTGGGGGTCTTCTTCTGAGCAGGGTACCGCTGGCTCGCAGTCACTAAGCACTAAATAGTGCTTTATGGACAGTGTTTTTCTTAGAGTGGACAGGCAATGCAAGAAGTTAAACTGAAATGCTGTATTTAAACCTGACCTTCCTTGTGGCTCACTAGTAACCCCTAGGGATTGCAATTTCACCCCTCAAGCTGGGCACTTTCAAGTTACCTGATATTTTATCTGAGTCGTTCTTCTACCTTCCCTTAGTAAACATTAATAATTGGAGATGATCGTTAAAATCACATAAATGGAGTAACTAACCTCTTACCTGTTTTCTGGTGGAATCAGTAATGAGACAGATAACACAGATGGGCAACAAAAAAGGATAGGTAACTGACCATCTGATTGAGTGAAGTGGGCCTTTGAATTATTTGGGTGGATTTTACAACTTAACTGTTATTTATTTTTGTTCTTGCTGTTGTTACACATTGAGAAAACTAATGTGATTTTTCCATTAAAATGCTGATACAAATGTCCAAAACTTTTCTGTTAAATAGTTTTTTACATTTTTATGCATATAGGTTACAACCTGCCATATTCATTCATCCAGTGATGATGAAATTGACTTTAAAGAAACGGGTTTCTCACAGGATTCTTCTTTGCAGCAAGTGAGTCATGCCTAAAGCTTTGCTTTTTGTTTTTATTTTAAATGCTTAGTCTAGTTGCCATCTATGACTCAGCTTCAGAGGCAGATTATGCACTAGGATGTGATTTGGGGTTACTTATTAGTTAGTCAAAAGCATTTAAAATAGGAAGTGTTGGGTATGTGAGAGGAAGGTTTGTATTGATATTTCCAGGAAATGTTTTGTATCTGATAACAACAATGCTAAGTCGGGTAAATTTTCAGATTTGAAAGAACTGAATGGTTTTGCAAGTGTCTCAGACATGCTCATTATGCAGACCTGTGCATAGTTGTGTTGTTGCTTAATGGGAATAATGCTTTTAACATCAGTAAAAGTAACTTTCAAAAAAATCTCTAAAACAAAATGGCTTATATGTTTCTGATATCTGAGGTCTTTTATAGTGACTCCTAAATTAAGTTTTAGTTGAAGTAATTCACTGCCACCCTACCCTCCTGCCCCACCTTCATCTCCATTTATCAGTTGCTTATACTCTGTGGGGGAGAAAACAGGATATAAAAATACAGGTACTGATTTATCTGTCACTCAGTGGTGGTTCTTGGAGAGGCAGGCGACCGCTGATCTCACTGGCTTGTCTAGGTATCAGAATTGGAAGCTAACAGTAGAAGCTGCTCTTTCAAGTTATCAGCTCTTCATATGGAGAAATCCTCCTCAGTCAGGACCAGGTCGTGGCATGGCAGCTGCTTTGGTGTGGCAGTATTATTGATATAGTTCCCTTCCTACCTGGCACTGAATGTTTGCTTGGCTGCTTTTTTCTCATTCTTTAAGCCATATCTTTTACCAGGGCCAGGGCCAGGGCAGGGTGAAGCTGCTGATGACTGCTGACCCTGACTTTTGGCTTCCAGATAGGCTCCTCTGGTAAAAGCTGAGTCAAATAGCTGCTTGGTTTCGGTACAAAGTCAGTTTAACATTCACATTTTCAGGGCAGGTCTGAGGTGGTTTTTCAGCACTTTGCTGGCTTCTCCATTGATTTTCGACACTGCTGCCCTTCAGAAGCCAACCTCTCAGGGTTGGGCAGAGAGCAACCGGCCTGTAGGGGCGGTTGTGGAGCAGCAGGACCTTCGTGTAGAGCACAGCAGCCCCTTACTGCCACCCTCTTGCCTTGGCTTGCTGTTGGGCAGCACTGGCCACTCAGGGCGCCCACCTGGCTCACTGTGAACCCGCATATCTACAGGCACTTCTTTCTGGATCCAGAGTTCTCTGGTTTTAGCCCAGGAAGCACTTTCTCCCCCACAGAAGCACCTGGAAAGTATTGAAAGAGTCCACTTTGCCTGGCATGAACTCCAGTGCCACACACTCTCCACCCCTGAGATGAAGCTCATTGGTATAAAATGTAAATTATCAAGGTGATTCTGAACCTGTTGAAATAGCTCTAAGAAAATAATTTACCTATTTGTAAATAAGCTAATAACCTTGAAACTTTAGGCAGCTGATTTAACCTAAGAGTGGTTACATTTAGTTATCTGGAGAGTGGGTTCCCTTCTCATAATCTGATTCCATGGTTGTTTTGGGGAGAAGTTTTTCTGACATTTTTTGGGGTTGACTAACTGCTGGCATGCACAGGATCAGCCCCCATCACACAACTGCCATACCAGCAGAGTCCTCAGCGGGCTGCTGCCCTGTGGCTTTCATCTGCATCCTAGGAAAAATCATTCCTTTTTGCTGGACAAGCCTCTAGTAAACCTTCCATTGCATGTTAAACTATAAATCAGCCATGGAGCCATGGATCATTATGCAAATAAGAACTAGGTTTCCAAACCCTTTCTTTCTAAAGTTGGAAAGACAAGGTTAGGTTAACTTAAGAATTTTATACTGAGTTCCATTGTAATTAGAATATTAGCTTATATATATCCATTTCAGTTTCTCATTCACATTTGCAGTTAGGTCTCATTTGGTAGAGTTCTGAGTGTAGAAACAGGGCAGGCCATTTAACAAGGTCACCTGACCATGTTACTGGTGGGGCCATACTTGGCTCAGGGAATGCTTCACAGCTTTTGTCTTCTGTCCCTTCTGGTTTCCTCCTCCAGCGTTTGACTCTTCCTTCTGATTCTGAAAGAAGTGTGGAAGGTGAGGAGGTCTTCCTCTTGCTGGGTCTGGAGGATGAGGGTTGACTTGTAGAGACAGGCTCTAGAGGTCTGATTGGCAGCCTCCCACTCCCCCATCCAAGCAGGCCTGTTCACAGGCGGTCACGTGAGATGGGGCACACCAGGACTTTTGTGGCTCAAGTGGAGCCTCCAAAGAGATTTGCTTAATAAAATGGTAGGCTCACTTTTCAGTGACTGTCTTTGGCCAGGATGATAGTTTTGGGAAGTGTGGGTTTTGGGTTTTTTTTTTTTTTCTTAATAATTAAGTTTTTAATAATTACACAGCCATATGGTACTTTCCAGACTTGGATTTCTCCCTGTCCAGAGTACTTCTTCTATAGCTTTAAATACAGTATAGTAACAGTCTTTACATATGTGGCTTTAGGAAGCTCTGATAGCTTTATTAGCAAAAACTGTATTTGAAACCTGAAATTCTTTGCTAGCTTATATCTTCCTAGAAGCTGTAATTGTCTTAGAAGTAATGAGGACTGTAATTTGTTCGTTTTCTTTTCCCTCTAAGTTACTTGGGTCTATCAGCTATATATCTCCCTAAGTAGATAAATGGATAGATAGGGAGACAGATGATGTAAGTATGTGTGTACATATGTATGTGTATTTGTACATATGTATGTGTGTTCATGTATATACATATATAATTAGTATTTGTATGCTCTTTATGAAGCATTTAAATAAACACTTTTGGGAACATTCCTTTCCTTTTGTTCCCAAAAAGATTCATATAGAAACACCAGAGTCACCAAAAAATTAAAGGGGAGAAAAAGAATCAAACAAAACAACTGGGGAGGGACCTTTACCTTTGTGTGACCAAATTTCTATTCCATAAATAAACTCAGAGCCCAGCTTATGCCATTGCTCAGAAGAATGATTTCATTACTGTGTCTTTGAAGGTGGCACACATCCCATTTTACCTTACAAAAGATAAAGATGCAGTTCAGAGGAATTGGTTTCTTCCTTGTTTGTTTTTATGAATATGAGTGTTACATATCATATTTTTCATCCATATGTTCAAGACTCAGCCACACCTTGCAGAACTTGTTTCTGACCTTCTCCGTTCACTCATACTCCCATGGTTCAGCCGTGGTATTCCTTGTGAGGCTGGCCCCCTGCCCCCGTGTTCATATAGTATCACCTTTGCAGGCAAGAAAAGGGATGGCATGGAAGTGTGCGAGTGAGCAGAGGGGCGGTGGGGCTCTAGAATTAGAAAAAAGTGAGGTTTTAGGTTCTCGGTAAACTAGATACCACTTTTTCAGACCAGAAGAGATGCCTTCCAAAGCCAAATATAAGGTTTATTTTTTAATCATCTTTAACTTGGATTATCCATGCCATAATTCCCTGCCATAAGAATGAGTAATCAGGAATTAACAGTAGAGGCATTTTTGCAGCAGATGTCTGCAGGGTGGAATCTGTGGGCTCTGCTCAAAAAGAGAACCAAAGAGGGTTCGGTTTCACTCAGTTATAGCTGCCTCCATACCAGCAAGTGGCCCCAGGGGTGATGCCTTTATTCAGTTCAGCCACCAGTTACTGCCCATGCTCTTGTCTGGGGTTCACCTGCAGGAAAGAGCTTTCTCAGCTATCCAGAGCTCTGTCCACAAGACAGCACACACATTGGTATTTATTTGCCTCATTTATTGTTTGGGGTAGAATGAGGAGTGGTGGCACTTGCTTATCTTCATTGTCCTTCACTCCTGACTGATAACATAGAACGCATTCGTGCATTTCTCTTGCTCTGCTGGGCCTGCTTGTTGTTTTAAATCAGAGTATCAACATTTCTGTGAAGTCCATTTTAACATTCCCCCATTTCTCACCAAGAAAACCCAAGTGAGCCTGGTGCTCTCTAGAAATGGTGTAGGAAACAGAACAGGCTCCTCTATGGATCTTACAGTTGTAGGCTTTTCAGAGTGATGTTGGATCAGTGTGAAAAGTTTGTCCTGTCTCTCTAAGGTAGGTAGGATAGAAGCTACTTTCATACTTTTCCCAACTTCTGAGACTGAAGTCTTTCTTTATTTTTTCTTTTCTAAGAAAAGTGTCCCTGAACATTGTGTCATAGGATGGTGAATGTGGTTATTAGTTGTTTTTCCTCTGGTGCAATGTTACTGTAGTGGATTGAGGGTGGGAGATACAGAGGGAGGTCGGGTGGTCACCACTTACTGGATCTTAGGTTAAGGTTGGTTGTGTCCAGAGGTGATTGATACATCTTATAATTTCAGACTGTCACATGTCACTTGATCACCTCTTTGAACAAGTCTTAACCCAGACCTCTCTAAAGATAATTCGCAATAGAGGACAGAGTGGTCACTTAACATTTCTTATAGTGAGTGACATGTGCATTGGAATGACTTGTGGGCTAAATTCCAAAATTTCCTTTTTTGGGCAAATGGTGTCTGAAATTATTTGATTTTTTTTTTCTTAGAAAAACACACCAACTTTTTAAGCCCTAAGGCTCTATAAATAAGATGGTTTCTGGAACACAAATGGGCAAATAGTATGTAGAGTGTCATTAGAATCATTATATCACTGTCACTGGTCCTGGGGTTGCCAGGCCTTTTCTGATTATCAGATGCAACAAATGACGTCCAATTTTATTGACCAGTTTGGCTTCAACGATGAGAAGTTTGCAGATCAAGATGACATTGGCAAGTGAGTATCTTTTCCTGTTGCCCTCTCTCATGCACTCCTGCTTTTTGTGAGACATGTGGGTTCTGGGGACTCTTCCACATTCATGTGTTAAGAGGAGCCTGCCCTCCAAGGTGTCCTTGTAGTTCCGGCCTATTGGGCACTGAAGCACCCAGAAGACAAGTAAGGATGAGAGGGTCACTCCCACAAGAGGGGCTGCCTTTGGTGTGGCTTCTCTCCCAGGGGTCTGTTATTGTTTAGATTGAGCTTCTCTTAGGAACCGTGCCCCTTGCAGTTGTAGTGCTGGATAGTGTTACCTGGAGTAATGAGTCCCTGCTGTATAGTTAGTGGGTTGGAGCAGGCATGGTTCCTTTACATCAGCAGCTGGTATTCTTTTGTGACAGGAGCAGCTCACCGTGTGTGCCTTATCTGGCTGACTCACCATAAGGTCGAGCTGGGTATTTTGGAAGACAGACCACTCATTCTGCTAGGCGGGGGAAGAGGAGCACAGAAATGGGAATTATTGGTACTGTACCAGATTAATGAATAGGTGATCTACAGAAATGAAAACAAATGGTATAGCATCTGGCCTCAGGAAAGGAGAGGAGTTTATAAATAAAGTATTTACAAGGAGGGTATTCTACATCACTGAGAACAGAGTTGAGTGTTAGATGGCTCTAATACTCCCCAGCCACTGCCTGGTGATGCCTGTCAATACCTGGCATCTCTGTGGCTCCATAACTGTATTAGGTCCTTGTGGCTTAACAACAGTCAGTGGAGCTGTCTTCTACCTCAAGTTGTGGTTTCTAGCATGTGAGAAGTTGGAGATTTTGAGCACACTCTTAGTTGTACCATGCAATATGCTGTTAGCGCCATGGATGGAGGCTTCACTGTAAACAGAGCAAGAGTTATAGGCTATCAGCTGCCCTAAGAATCAACTCATATGATCCAAAAAGAGCAAGGACTGTCCACATGGTATTTGTGTCTGTGTCCCAGAGGTGCTCTCACCAGAGCCCGTAGGCTCCCCACTGGCATCTCTACACACACCCCCATCCCCCTGTCAGTAAGTGTTACTAGTTAGGAATTCGTCGCTTTAGAATTTATATTGTGTGGTTGGTGTAATGATTGATTAGAATAGATCTTGTAAGAATTATACTGACTCAGAAAGTTATGTTTCACAGTCTAGGAGCTTTCTTCCCCCTACTTTCTTCCTCATTATGCCTATTAGAGGATTTTTGAGGTGTCTCTTTTGTATATGAATTTGTCCGTCCCTGGAGAAAGCTCAGTGTCTGACAACTCTTGGGCAGTTTTTCATGTTTTGACTTGTTTCTTCTTTGCAAATAACGTATTTCTTGGCCAACTAAGTATGGCCCCAGAAACCATGGTTGTTACTGTGGGTGTTAAAAATCTTTTATAGGAAGGCTTTGAGGGAGGGTGTGTTTATTCTGTCTTAGGCCTTTCCACCCTGTATGAGTTCTTAATACTAAGGGAGGAAGCATCATTTAATGCAAGCAGGTTTCAACTTTTATTTCACCTATGGAGATTTTAATGATGGTATGAATATTTTAACTTTGAAAAGTTACTTAAATAGTGTTTATGTCAGTCTTTTGGTAATTATTCCTATACTTACATTTTGTTTATAGTGTTTCTTTCGATCGGGTATCAGACATCAACTTTACTCTGAATACAAATGAAAGTGTAAGTATCAATGTTTCATCTGGTGAGTGACAAGGTATGTGAAGGGTGGATGGGGAAAGCTGGGATCTGTCTGCATATGGATGCCATGTGTGTCAGGACCCTCTGTGCTCCAGGAAACTTCATCTTAGTTTGGTGTTGCTTCACCCACTCACATGACCTTTGTGCTCCCTGTGGGTATGAGCTTGCAGCCATGGTTTTCTTAAGATGTAGCAGGGCTGACAAAACTGGGCTCATTTGTGATTGCAGTGTAGACGTGTATCTTTAAAGACTGCAGTTCGAGTCCAGCCAGCCACCTTTTACTTCAGCTGTCTGTCACCAGGAAAGAAACTTGGGTTAGATCAGGGCCAGCTTGTCATCCCCAGGCAGGGCTCAGATACCAAGTCAGTCCTATCAGCAGATGACATGGGATTAGTGTCATTTGAGTGGGCACAGTCTTGACTTTTATGTTGATTAACATGAGAGACCACTTGTTTATTTGCTGATGTGATAAGGTAGAAACTGATCAGACTGTTGATGCTCCTGACTGCTTAGCTGGACTGCCAGATATGGAGGAAATGGAGGTTGCTTTGCTATTGGGGCAGATCTGGGACTGCATTTCAGGTGCTGGGGCAAGGAAGCTCTTGGAAGTAACCCGGTGCTTTGTCAGATGAAAGGGAGTCCATGATGCCAGTGTAGGCTCCTACGTGCCATTTATTTATTTGTCTTATTTATTTATTCATGAAAGACGCACACAGGGCGGGGGGGTGGGGGGGGGAGCAGACACACAGGCAGAGGGCTCCATGCAAGGAGCTCGATGTGGGACTCGATCCCAGGTCTGCAGGATCACACCCTAGGCTGAAGGTGGCACTAAACCACTGAGGCACCCAAGCTGCCCCTACGTGCCTTTTAAATCCATTCTTTTGGGGGAATTTTCTGTTGTTACACAAAGCTGACATTAGATGCTTTTACATTTTATTTTGGTGTATATGCTAGGCACTGTTTTTGAAAGGAAATGAAGGAGGGCACCCGGGTGGCTCAGTTGGTTAGGTGTCCAACTTGATTTTGGCTCAGGTCATGATCTCAGGGTCATGAGATTGAGCCTAGCACTGGGCTGTATGCTCAGCAGCAATTCTGCTTGAGATTCTCTCCTTTTCCCTCTGCCCCTCCCCTGGTTTGTCTGCAAGCACGTGCTCTCTCTAAAATAAATAAATCTTTAAAAAAAAAAAAGGAAATGAAGAATATGATTTATATTGGCAACTTTTGGATAAAATAACTAAAGTTTGTCTTGTTCTTTTTCTCTCTCTTGTTTTTATTTAGGGAAATATTGCCTTGTTTGAAGCATGTTGTAAGGAAAGAATACAGCAGTTTGATGATGGTGGCTCTGATGAGGAAGACATCTGGGAGGAAAAGCACATTGCCTTTACACCAGAATCCCAAAGACGATCCAGGTAAGAGTGCGTTACAGTAGCAGTAATATCCAGTGCATAAAGTAGATGATGGTTAGGAGACATACATTGTATCCTGTGCAGATGTATATGTGTGAATTAGAGACCAGTGCTTCTGTCACGATCAGAAATGCCCGGGTTGGGGCACCTGGGTGGCTAAGTTAGTCAAGCATCTGACTATAGATCTCGGCTCAGGTCTTGATCCCATGGTTGTGAGTTCAAGTTCCACACTGGGCTTTGCATTGGGCCCAGAGCTTACTTGAGAGAGAGAGAGAAATATGCCCTTATTAACTGTTGCGAGATGGTACTGGTACTCCTGTCTGTAGTGTGACAGGAGTGTGGACGAGTCAATGTGATGAACTTGAAAATACTGGAAGTGTTTAGACATAGTTCATAAAGCGTTGTGACACAGCCTCTTGTGAATGGGAGGCCTTTCTGAGAAATGTAGTATTAAGTACTCTGAATAGATGTTCCCTTACCAGAAACACCTGTTGCTGCTGAGTTACCTGTTGTTTCCTATGAAAGAGTTTCCCCAAGAAAGGGCAAAGTTGTTTCTAAAAGTTTATCTAACTGGGGGAGACAGTCCTGTCCATGGGGATGCTTTGGGATCAATCCAGTTGGGTTTTTTCCTCTATAATTTGTTGAAGTTACTCTAACCCAAGAACCTAAATACATTTGCTTCAGTACACAAGGAGTTCTTGTTATCTGAGAATCCATTACCAGAATCTTCATAGTTGAGAGAACAGCAGCTGAACCTTCGTTTTTATTTCATTTATTTTTAATAAGTAACGTTTCCACATAGCATACAATTCAGAGAAAACAAAATATACAGTGAAAGGTAAAGCCCCCCCCCCCCAAAAAAAAGTAAAGCTTCCCTCCCACACCAATCTCTTACCCATTTTATTCCTTTTGCTGAACAGAGCATGCCAGCCTTTCTTGCCTGTTCTCTGCATGTACCAGGAGTTATGTTGGGTTTCTTAGAAAGGCTTGTTGTTTCAGGTTACAGAAGACCTCACTGTGACTCAAACTTGGAAAAGTATATTTGTCTCATGATCCGCAGCTGTTTAAGGTCATTAAACCTAGCTTCTTTTTTTTATGCCCACTTTTTCATCTTTTGCATATTGGCTTATTACTTTGTAACCACAAGGTAGCTAAAGCTCCAGAACCAGGAAGCAAGAGATAAATGTCTAAATGGCGTTTTGTTTGTTTGTTTTTAAGATAACTCCAAACTTGTCACCATTTACTGTGAAATTTTGTCCTAATGTTGAGTGAATTCACTAAATGGCCATTGCCTACTGCCATTTGTCCTCTAGGGGCAGACCATACTCACGCATTATTACAGCAGTGTGGTATGTCCCAATGGAGTACCATTTGTAGAGCATGTAGAGAAAGAAGTATGGCGATGAAGACAGTATCTGGAGGACATGACAGTTGATCCCCAGAGGGAACACAGGATGATGAGAAAAGGCAACTTTTTATTATTTAACGACTCTGTTGAGGGATAATTGACATAGAGTAAACTGTGTATTTGAATTATATAATGTGGTAAGTTTGAACATATGAATATATCTATGAATACATCCATGAAACCATTATGTCAGTCAAGATTATGAACTTACCCATCACCTGCAAAAGTTTCCTGTGCTCTTTTATATTGCCTTTACCCAATCTGCTTTTTGTTCCTTTAGGATGATTTATGTTTTCTAAGGTTTTATATAAATCAGATTGTACGTTATCTACTTAATGTTTCTTCCATCAACTTTGAGAGTCACTCATGTTGGGTGATGTATCAATAGTTCATTTGTTTTAATGTCTGTGCAGTGTTCTGTTGAAGGGATGTACTATTTACTGAATGGGTGCATTTGTTTATTCATTTGCCTGCTGATGGACATTTGGGTTTCTAGTTTGGGGCTTTGATATCACTTGAGAATAGACTGTGGTAAGTTATGGATCTATATCGTATACCCTAAAGCAACCACGCAGCAACAAAACAAGGAATTATAGTTAATAAGCCAACAAAAGAAGTTACATCATAAAAAATATCTAAAAGAGGGCAAAAAAAATAAAAGGCAGTTGGGACACTCAGAAAATTACTAGCAGTATGATAACATTAAACCCAGGCAGCCCCATTAGGTATTACTGAATACTGTTAAATAAGTAACGTCAAAACCTGTTAAACTGAAGAGATTGTCAGATTGGATAAAAATTCTGGTCTAACATTAGCTGCCTATGAGAAATAATTTAAATATAGACACAAACGGGTTAAAAGAAGTCTACACATAAATCAGATTTCAGAGGAAAAGGGTAAAGAAAGTGTCATAACGAGGTCAGATCTTCAGGAAGACATAACAGTTCTAAGTCCGTGTGTACCTAATAACAGCTTCAAAATAACACAGAGCAAAAACTGAGTACACTGCAAGAGAAGTAGACAGATCCACAGTTCTAGTCCTGTGGTACAGCACTCCTGCTCTGGTCATTGATGATGGGCAGAAGTCAGAGGCACAGAGCACTGAATACTGTCAACTAATATGACCCTGTTGGACATTTGCAGAGCACTCTACCCAACAGTAGCAGGGACAGGCACTGTTTTCAAGTGTACCACATGACCTATTTATGCCAAGAGAGATCATATTTGGGCCAAAAAGCCAGTCTCAGCAAATTCCAAAGGTTTCAAGTCCTACAAAGTATGTTCTCTGACCCCAGTGGAATTAAATTAGAAATTAGTAACAGAAAGGTCTCTAGAAAACCTCCAAATATGTGGAAGCTAAATAATAAGTGAGTTACAGAAGAAATCAAAGGGGGGGCGGTATTTAAAGGATCGTTTTTGTACTGTTTATATCTAAAAAGTAGAAACCTCTCAAACCAATAACTTTAGCTTCCAGCTTAAGAAACCAGCATGAGGGATCCCTGGGTGGCGCAGCGGTTTGGCGCCTGCCTTTGGCCCAGAGCGCGATCCTGGAGACCCGGGATCGAATCCCACGTCGGGCTCCCGGTGCAGGGAGCCTGCTTCTCCCTCTGCCTATGTCTCTGCCTCTCTCTCTCTCTCTCTCTCTCTCTCTCTCTCTCTCTCTCTCTCTGTGTGTGTGTGTGTGTGTGTGACTATCATAAATAAATAAAAATTAAAAAAAAGAAAAAGAAACCAGCATGAAGGGCAAACAGAAAAACAGTGGAGGAAATTGTTGCAAAAGCTCTTCTTTGGGTGGCTCAATGGTTGAGTATCTGCCTTTGGGGAGACTGCTCCCTCTGCCTATGACTCTGCCTCTCTCTCTGTATCTCTCATGAATGATAAATAAAATCTAAAACAAAACAAAAAGCTGTTTTTCGAGAAGATTGAGGAAGTTGATGCACCTCTGGGCAGAATGGTCAGGAGAAAAAGGAATGGCTCATACCAGGAGTGAGCAAGGCGACGTCACTCCTGGTACTAAAAGAATAGTAAGTGAATATTGTAAACAACTCTGTGCCAATAAATCTGACAACTTAGACGATCTTTGAAAGACACAGACTACCAAAGCTTAAGCAAAAAAAAAAAAAAAAACAAAAACAAAAAGTCTTCTATCTATTAAAGAAGTTGAATTTATAGTTTAAAAATTCCCACATACACACAAAAACTCCAGGCTTAGGTGGCTTCTCTGGTGAATTCTACCAAACATTTCAGGAATTACACTAGCTTTATAAAAAGCTTTTGGAAAATTGAAAAGGAAGGAATAGAGTGCCCATGTCGATCTATGAGGCCACATCAATGTGACCTGATAACCAAAGCTGACATGACATGACATGAAAAGAAAAGTGATTCAGTTATTTTTGTGAATGTGGATGCAGACGCTCTTTTAAAGGTTTTAGTAAATAATGGAATAATAATACATCATGACCAAGGAAGGCTTATTTCAGAAATTCTGAGTTGGGTTAATATTTGAAAATCAATCAGGGGGATCCCTGGGTGGCGCAGCGGTTTGGCGCCTGCCTTTGGCCCAGGGCGCGATCCTGGAGACCCGGGATCAAATCCCACGTCAGGCTCCTGGTGCATGGAGCCTGCTTCTCCCTCTGCCTGTGTCTCTGCCCCTCTCTCTCTCTCTGTGTGTGTGACTATCATAAATAAATTTAAAAATTAAAAAAAAGAAAAGAAAATCAGGAAGCATGTGGCCGAATCCAACATCTATACCTGATAATCAGAATTCTTAGCAAACTGGAGACAGAAGGTAATTTCTTTAGTCTGATTAAAGCTTTTACAATAAACCTACGGCTGGCTGACTGCATAGTAAAAATGGAATGATTTCCCTCAAAGATTAGGAACAAATCAAAAGATGTTTACACTTACCACAGCTTTTCTCTATTGTTACTGGGGCTTCTAGCCAGTGCAATAAGTCAAGAAAAAGAAATAAAAGCCATCTATGTTAGAAAGGAAAGGATAAAATTATCTTTATTCTCAGACAACAGTTATTGTCAGTGTAGAAAACTTGTTGATATCTACGAAAAGATTATTAGAATAATTAAGTCAGTTTGGCATGATTATATGGTACTAGGTCAATATAATTGCATTTCTATGTACTGCAACAAACAGTTGGAATTTAAGTTACTAAAAAATCCTATTCATAGAAGCATCAAAATATTAAATATGTAAGGATAAATTTGGCAAGATGTGCAAAACTTAGATGCTAAAAAATTACAAGACAGCTGAGAGAAATCAAGAATTGATAAATGTTTATAATTTGAAACTCAATACTGTTAACATACCAATTCTCCCCAGATTGATCTAGAATCAGTGCAATCTCAAATAAAATGATAATAGGGTTTTTTTTAGTGATTTAAGCTTGTGCTTAAATTCATATGAAAATGCAAAAGAGGGATCCCTGGGTGGCACAGCGGTTTAGTGCCTGCCTTTGGCCCAGGGCGTGATCCTGGAGACCCGGGATCGAATCCCACGTCGGGCTCCCAGTGCATGGAGCCTGCTTCTCCCTCTGCCTGTGTCTCTGCCTCCCTCCCTCTCTCTCTCTCTCTGTGTGTGTGACTATCATAAATAAATAAAAATTAAAAAAAAGAAAATGCAAAAGAGCTAGAAGAACCAAAACAACTTTTTTTTTTAATTTATTCATGAAAGACACAGAGAGAGGCAGAGACATGGGGAGAGGGAGAAGCAGGCTCCCCACAGGGAGCCTGATGCAGGAGTGAATCCCAGGACCCTGGGATCACGACCTGAGCCAAAGGCAGACACTCAACCATGAGCCACCCAGGCACCCCCAAAACAAGTTTCATAAAGAAGTTAGAAGACTAACAGTATTTGATCTCAAAATACAATAATTGAGACAATGTGTTTGCTAAGACAGTAGTTTGGGGGATAGAAAAGTGTAAATAAGTAAGTGTAAAGACAGCTGACTTCTGATGCAGGTGCAAAAGCAGTTCTGTGGGGAAAGAATAGTCTTTAAACAAACAATTCTGGAACAGGTGAACATCATTATGCAAAATTATTGAACTAATTCCATACTTCTTGCCATATATACACATGGATTCCAAATGGATCTTAAACCTAAATGTGAAGCATCAGAGTATAAAACTTAGACTAGGAAATCTTTGTCCCCTTGGGTTAGGGAAAGATTTCTGAGGTAGGATGCCAAAAGCACTGCAGGAAAGGAAATTTTCATAAGCTCGACTTGTCAAAATTAAGCACTTCTACTCATCTAGCAACATTAGTTAAGAAGAAAAGGAGGATGGTGCATAGACTCAGGGAGGACATTTGCAAATTACGTGCCTGGCATAGGGCCTCTCTGGAGGGTGGTGCATAAAGGACTCTTAGGGTTCTATACAAATTAAAGACAGTAACCTGTTTTTTAAACTGTGCTAAAGGTGTAAAAAGATCCTTTAGAAAAGATGTGTGGATGGTAGGTTGGCACATGAAAAGCAGTTCAGCATCTTGGCCATGAGAGAAATGCAAATGACCACCACAGTGAGCTGCCTCTAGGCCCTATTGGAAGGTCGTCTGTAGAGGTGCCCACATGTTCATGCAGAACCAGGTGCAGTGGGGACAGCTGAGACCAAGATTAGGCAACACACTCATGAAGGCAAGAATGAGCCCTTTGGAGTGCATATGATTTTTTTCTTACTGGATGACCTCAGAATGTCCTGGATTTAGCCAGTGACTGATAGGCAGCATTAAATATTTTATTTCGGTCTTTGTGTCGTCCCCCCCCCCCCCCAGCTCGGGGAGTACAGACAGTGAAGAAAGTACAGACTCTGAAGAAGAAGACGGAGCAAAACAAGATTTGTTTGAACCCAGTAGCACCAGTACAGAGGACAAAATGGAGGTAGACTTGAATGAACGTAAGTCAGCTGCTTCTTCCTCTGTATTAGTCACTGTGTGTTGGAAACAGGTGTATTTTTAAACAAGGCACCCTGGTCTGCAGGATGGGAGTTAGGTTGAGTCCCCTTGGAGGTGTAAGTGTCAGGGACAGGGCCTGAGGGAAGGAATGACTTTCCTTCTGATGATGTGGTGTCTCTTACAGTGTGGACACCCCACTGTGTGAGTCTGGTTAGGGATAGAGCACACTGGGGGGTCTAGCCTCTGGCTACAGGGCCTAGGAGCCAGGCAGCAGGGGAGAGACCAGAATTAGGGAAGACAAGGAAGGGCTGTGTTTGTGGAGTCAGAAATCCACTAAACCAGAGTAAACAACTTCAAGCTGAGACTATTTGAAATGGGTTCTTCAGAGTTGATTTATGAAGCCTATAACCTAAAACTTGTCTGGCTTCAGTGCTTATTCATTTCCTGGTACTTGCTAAGAAGACTTGCTTTCACTGGACTTTTAAAAAAATGCCTGTTAACTTCTGAAAGTCCAGGTACATTTTTATTTGGAAGAGCCGTGTGGGTTGACACTGGAGCTTTCCTCAAGGCTGACAGTGCTTCGTGTTCCTGGGGAAGGCCTTTGTGTCCTTAATCCTGGAGGCTAAAAGCTAGCTCTGGGCATCAAGTGGACCTCACTACTGCAGAGTTGGCCAGGACCTTAATAGTAACCCAGCACAGCCCCATGGGACAGACCTGGAAAGCGAGAGCCATGGAGGAAAAGAGGATTGGCCTCTCTCCTCTCATTGCTTTCCCAGCTCACCATCTTCAGGAGGAAAAAGTGGGCTTTTCTCTCTTAATTCAGTTCGAGTCCACATGCCTTTATCAAGATCCAGCTATGTGCCAGATGTGGAACACAGACTCTCCATCTAGAGTCTAGAGTCTCCTGAAGAATGGAGAGATTGTGGTAGATTCTGGGGCGCTCCCCTGGGAAGGTCATTTCTGTGTAGCCTAGCAAGGTGTGCAGTGAGACCACATAAACAGACCCAATTTCACCTGAAAGGACACTTCCCCGAGGAAGTGACGTTAAAACAGACCTGCAGGTTAGATCCAACCTTGGTCAGCAGTCAGTGCCATGAGGCTGTTTTGATGGATAGAGGTGAACAGCCAGATGAAAGGAGAAGTAGGGATATAGTCAGGAAGGGTCCTGAGCATAGGATTTTCTGTTCTCATGGAGTTTGGGGTGTGCCACCTGCTGTTTACTAGCCCAGAAGCTCTAAACCCCTGAAATTTTGAGTTTTTTATGGAATCTTCATTAAATGGGTACTTTTGATCAAATAACTGGCCATTAGTGATTTTCTCCACTTCTGGCCCCTCTTCCCTCCTAGGAGGGTCGGCTATGGGATAGGGGTAAAAGTTCTAGCCCTCTGACCCCAGGCTAGTTCTCCTGGCAGCCTGCCTAGTACTGAGCCCCATCCTGAGGCCACCAGTCATCTCTTTAGCATACAAGACACTACTTCAGAGATTCCAAGGGTTTGGAGGTGGTGGTGAGCTGAACACAAATATGTATTTTTTCTTGTGTCACCAGAAGCCTTCCTCTTTGTGTTAGCTACAGTGGACTGTGGGAAGGCCATTAAAAGTATGAAGTGGGGCCACATCTGGATTGGGATGCATTTAAAGTTTCCAGTTTATTACAGTTGAATATACAACATTCTGCTTAAAAAAATTTTTTTTGGAGTAACTTTGGATTTACAGAAAAGTTGCAGAGATTATACAGGGAGTTGGGGCTGTGTACCCTTCCTTCACCCATCTTCCTCCTGGTGTTCATATAATCTTGGTGCCTTTGTCCAAAGTAAGAAATTATAATATTCTCAAAAAAAAAGAAAAATTATAATATTCTTTTATATGTATCTTTGCATCCTCGTGTGATATTTCTGGTGGAGAAAAAAATCTTAGAAATGGGAATTAGGGATTAAAGGAAGTCTACAGTTTTATAATAGGATAGATGTTATCACATTGCCTGACACTGATTCTGCTGTTTCCACCTCTATCAGGGGTGTGTTAGAGTGCCCTGTCCCCACCACTCTGGCTGCCTCCTTGCAAATGTTTCTGAAAAATATCTTGGATTGCACTGAACTTCTGAAGTATTCTCAAAATGAGATTTCTGCTCTCTTTTTAGCACCCAACTGGTCAGCCAACTTTGATGTCCCCATGGAGACAACTCATGGTGCTCCCTTAGATTCTGTGGGTTCTGATGTCTGGAGCACAGAGGAGCCAGTGCCAACTAAGGAGACGGGCTGGGCCTCCTTCTCAGAGTTCACATCTTCCCTGAGGTGAGTGTGTGTGTGCTTGCTCCCTAAACCTGTCCATAGGAGAACTGGGAAAGGGAACAGGGGTCAGCTGCAGACACTGTCTCTCACCTTGATTTACTCCCTACATGAAGATAATGCTCTACGCTAAGTCACAAATCAGCACAGGGGAGCTAGCGACACAGTTATGGATTAACAAGGAAACTAGTCTCTATATTCCTTTTATCCAGGTGAGCTGGGAAAGGCAGTGGGCTGTGTACACATAGTAGCCCAGGAAGATAGGGCCCCAGGAGGTTATATAGTAGGGTGCGGACCATCAGAAAACAAACAGGATTGAGGAGGATAGAAACGGGATAGAGCAAGAGCTCCTGACAGGCACCTGTGTGGAGTGTTACAGAAGAATGCACAATGTATCTTGAACTTAACAGATACTCTGAGCTTGCATTTCACTTGTAGCTAATCTGGTGCTGTAAATTACAGGGGGTGATAGGATAGCTGTCAGTCTTGTTATTTGTAGTATTTTTGTTGACAGCAACCTATCTTTTCATAATTTTCCTGAATAATATTGCCAGCATTTGAGTATTAACCATGGATTTCATGTCTTACTAGGCTTAGTTTGATTTGCTAAACATTGTTTTGTCTCAACTACACATTTAAAAGACTTTGTTGCTCTTCGTGCTGTCACGGTTACCATCTTCAACCATCAGGGGGCTGGCTGACACCTTTGTGGCTTTACAGCAGTTTCAAGGATAGCAGGAAGCCATTGTCAGGGGCAAAAGTGAGGTTGTAGGAAATGTCTCCAAAGTATTTTAAGTTATTTCACTAACTCCACTCCAGCATTGGACAGTCGGGTTTCCACCTCTTGTTTTTTTTCTGTCTTTTGTAACTAGAGGATAAGACCCCCTGGTTACTTGGAAGCTTGCTGCCCTTTACCCCTTGTGCTCAGTTCATGTTTTCTTGTTAAATATCACTAAGGCCCTCAGGCAGTTTGGCTCAAGGTAAGTAGGGATTTTTGTAAAAATCACAGCAGGTACAGTTGATGGTGCACAGTGTCAGCCCCTGTTGTCCCAGCCCTTGGGACCCTGGTGACCGAGGGGGAGGATGAGAGACTGGTGCATTTTGAACCTGTCTGCAAACCTCTACGAAATCCCCATGCTCCTATCCTGCTGACTTAGCAGAATACCTGTCTGCGCTCACCTGCTCTGCAAGCAGCCCTCTGCACCTGGATCTATCTCTGTGTCCTTGGAGTCTGTGACAGACTGCTCCTGTAGCCCCAGCGAGCCTAGAACTTTGAAAGGGTTTTTGTGAATGAATCATGGTAACTGAGGGCTATTTGCCACTGCTAACATCTGAATTTTCTCTTTTCTAAAAGTACAAAAGATTCTTTAAGGAGTAATTCTCCAGTGGAAATGGAAACCAGCACTGAGCCGATGGGCCCTCTGACTCCCAGCGTTGGCACGCTGGCCGCGCAGCCTGAAGGTGGGTGTGGAGAACAGGGCACCAGCCAACCCAGCCTGCTGGCCTTTCACCTGACTGTTGTTCAGGCTTTGACTGTATGCTTAGTTTTCTAGATCTGAAGAGTTGCTTTTGTCTACATAACAGTTTATAAAGCCAGTCTTGATTCTTAGGCTCAAGGGCTCAAAGGGCTCAGGGAGTTGAGGTGGTAGGTCTGATGTCCTCAGGGCAACTGATAAAAAGAAATTGTGTATTCATTCCAGAACCATGGCATGGTGATTTTAGAAGGCATTAGGGACCTAAGTGGTCAGTTGTTCAGTCCTATCAATATACAGAAATGGAAACAGACCCAGAAAAGAAGAACATCTTTGCCTGCAATGCCCAGTGTGAATAAAATCAGAATTAGGCGTGTCAGTGTTTTCAAGCCTCGCTGGTACCAAGTTCTTTTGTCATTTGGAGTTTGCGTTGCTGGAGCATGCGTGTGTGTCTTAGCATGTTTCAGGCATAAGGCTGTTTCTTTTCTTTTTTTTTTTAAGATCTTATTTATTCATGAGAGAGAGAGAGAGAGGCAGAGACACAGGCAGAGGGAGAAGCAGGCTCCATTCAGGGAGACTGATGTGGGACTCGATCCTGGGACTCCAGGATCACTCCCTGGGCTAAAGGCAGACACTAAACCGCTGAGCCACCCAGGGATCCAGGCTCTTTTCTTTTCTTTTCTTTTCTTTTCTTTCTTTTTTTTTTTTTTTTTGATTTTATTTATTCATGAAAGACAGAGAGAGAGAGGTGCAGAGACACAGGCAGAGGGAGAAGCAGGCTCCATGCAGGGAGCCCGATGTGGGACTCAATTCCGGTTCTCCAGGATCACGCCCTGGGCCAAAGGCAGCGCTAAAACGCCGAGCCACCGGGGCTGCCCTAGGCTATTTATTTTCATTTCACCTTTATGAACAGTTGAAATGGTCAGGGACATCCAGTGGGTTGTCTCGTTCAGACTGCACACGTTATTCCTTGCAGAGGCCCTGAGCTGTTTCTAGCCTGATGAATGGGGCTTGGAAGCTGGGAGGGGGAGAGGTTGGTGAAACTGGTGTGAGGAATCAGTATGTGGAGGGGGAAAAAAAGCAAGTCTTGGAAAAAGAAATGAGGACCCAGGTGGGATGGAGGGGAGCACAAGAACCAAAGGACAGGAGAGGTCATAAAACCAGTAACTTAAAGTTCATTTGTCATTCTTCTCCACATTTTATAGAGTTGACCCCATTTTACCCTGAGTTCTGCAGGTGGGTTTAGGTAACTTCATTTTACAGATAAGAGAACTCTTGCCCTAGAGTGAAATAGCTAGTAAGTGGTGAGGCTGGAGTTTGAATTCAGGGAATGTGACTTCAGAGCCCACGCTTATAACCAGTATAGCATATGGCTCACTAGTACAGAACAACGGAATAATAATCCACAAGGAACCATAAGAAAGTAACTTTAAAAAAAAAAAAAAAGGACCCAAGTGAAAGGAAAAAGACCACTGAGACCAGTACCCTGAACAAACTATAATCTCAGCACTTGTAGGCTGAAGTGTGCAGAGGCTGAATATATCCAGCTGCCCACTGCACCTTCTGCTATGAATTGGAACAGCCCCGGAATGGGAGGGCTGACTGGGACGAGTTGAGGGTGTGGGTAAACGCTGGGCTGGGAAGGCCAGAGGGTTCTGCTGGCCCTGTGAGATGAAAACCTATGGAACGTCTCTAGTGGGCGTTTTCAAGAATCCTGTGCCCAGGGGGATCCCTGGGTGGCGCAGCGGTTTGGCGCCTGCCTTTGGCCCAGGGCGCGATCCTGGAGACCCAGGATCGAATCCCACATCAGGCTCCCGGTGCATGGAGCCTGCTTCTCCCTCTGCCTGTGTCTCTGCCTCTCTCTCTGTGTGTGTGTGACTATCATAAATGAATTTAAAAAAAAAAAAAATTAAAAAAAAAAAAAAAAGAATCCTGTGCCCATCAAGAACCGATTTAGGCAACAACCGGCAAGCTGTCTCTTTCTCAAGCAGTAGATGGAACATTGGGTGGCTGGGTCCCCACAGAAGGTGAGGGATGCTTATTGTTTTGGTAGGGTGACCATCCACCATGTGTTCTTTTCAGCGCCAGCCAGTGTAGCCATGGAAGCCAGCTCTGACGGAGAGGAGGATACAGAAAGTACAGACAAGGTAACTGAGACAGTGATGAATGGCGGCATGAAGGAAACTCTGAGCCTCACTGTAGATGCCAAGACAGAGACCGCAGTTTTCAAAAGGTAACCAGGCCAGGTCCTGCTGGCAGCTTCAGGTTGGGTTGGGGATCTCAAGTGTTAACATCTTCAATTGGATTGAGATGTGGGTTCAGACATTAGCCTGACATCTTCCGAGCACCTCTGTTCAGCCCCATGAATCTGAATGAAGACAGGGAGAGTTTGGGGTCCCCAAGTACCTCTCCTCTGCCTTTCTAGTACTCAGAAGACTAGATTAAGTCTAGTAGGTTCAAAATATGGGACAATAAAAAATGGACATGTCTGTAGTCAGAGTAGACACTGGCGCATCCAGAACAGGGTCAGTGCCCTGCACACCATCTTCTCCAGACATAATACAGCCAGAACATTCAGTAGCAGAGTGATAGCTTAAACAGTTTAACCTCACTTCTAAATTCATGGACCAAAAAAGAAATCATACTGCAAAATAGGAACACAAACCTGAAAGAGCAGTGACAGCCTTTTTGTTCGAACTGGGTGCTGCAGCTGGGTCGGCGTTCGTGGCTGCGTCTCGATACTCTGCAGAGCCTTCGGCACAGAAGAAGGGATGTGTCCCACCTTGTGGTGAGGTCCCTACAGAACAGCCAGCACAGAAGGGGAGCATGGATTCCCCGTGGGGGTACATATGTGCGAGATTCTAAAGTTAAAAGCTAGCAAACTGAATCCACCAATGTGTTCTTGAGTCACGAGGTGCACTCAAGGACAGGGTGACCTGGTGAAGCATACTAAATGTGATTCTCGGACTGAAGAAGATAGAAACCATTCGGACCTTTGGTAGATAGGAGTATTTGAAAAAATTAAAGCCATTCATGACTTTTTGGCAGTCTAGGAAGAGAAAGTAGCTCCCTGAAACTGCTAAAGGTGTGTTCTGAAAATCTATAGCCGACTTGATTGTTCACAGTGAAGTGTGAGGTATGAGACATGCTCCCTTCCAAGACATGACCTGGACAATGAGATGGGCCTGTAGTCACTGCTTCTCTCTTCAGCACTGTACTAGCTAACGGTCTTAGCACATGCTGCATAAACAAAAACAAAGCATACAAAGATTTGAAAGACTAAAATGGTTCTTGTTTGTAGATTATGATTTTCTGCACAAAAAATTCCCAGCAGTTTCATGAAAAATATTAGAATTACTAGGGAAGTTTAGCAAGTTTTTTAGACACATGTGAGTCAGATGCATCCTGTAAACCGATAGAAGGTGTCCTAGATGTGCGCCCCCCCCCTTTTTTTATTTTTTTCCCCCTTTTAAAATTAAAATTTTAAACCTTGTCTATCAAGATTGAAAGGCATAATAAAGGTTTAAATAAGTAGAGATGGGATCCCTGGGTGGCGCAGCGGTTTGGCGCCTACCTTTGGCCCAGGGCGCGATTCTGGAGACCCGGGATCGAATCCCACGTCAGGCTCCCGGTGCATGGAGCCTGCTTCTCCCTCTGCCTGTGTCTCTGCCTCTCTCTCTCTCTCTCTCTCTGTGTGACTATCATAAATAAAAAAACAAAAACAAAAAAACAAAAAAAACTAATGTCTAAAAAAAAAAAGATTTAAATAAGTAGAGATATGCCACAGGACGATATATTTGGCTTTTTTTTTTTTTTAAGAATTTTTTTTTTTTAAGTTTATTCATAGAGAGAGAGAGAGAGAGAGAGAGAGACAGGCAGAGGGAGAAGCAGGCTCCATGCAGGGAGCCCGACGCGGGACTCGATCCCGGGTCTCCAGGATCACACCCTGGACTGAAGGCGGCACTAAGCCGCTGAGCCACCAGGGCTGCTCATCTTTGGCAATTTTTTATTTTTTTTAATTTAATTTTATTTTTTTAAATATTTATTTATTCATGAGAGGCACAGACACAGGCAGAGGGAGAAGCAGGCTCCATGCAGGGAGCCCGATGTGGGACTCGATCCTGGATCTCCAGGATCACACCCTGGGCTGAAGGCAGTGCTAAACTGCTGAGCCACCCAGGCTGCCCCTTTGGCAATTTTTTAACAAGTTAATATATAAAATGATTGCATTTCTTTTTTTTTTTTTTTTTAATTTTTTTTATTTATTTATGATAGTCACAGAGAGAGGGAGAGAGGCAGAGACATAGGCAGAGGGAGAAGCAGGCTCCATGCACCGGGAGCCTGATGTGGGATTCGATCCCGGGTCTCCAGGATCGCGCCCTGGCCAAAGGCAGGCGCCAATCCGCTGCGCCACCCAGGGATCCCAAATGATTGCATTTCTAATCAAAATCCCAGTGGAGCTTTTCATGGCGATTAGAGGCTGATAGTGATATTCATAAAGAAGACCAAAGAGCCAGAAATAACCAAGATCATTTTGAAGAAGGAAGGAAAGGAGAGAGGCAGAGGCATCACCAAGTGAGATATCCTTTTGGGCATGCTGTGCAGGTAGACACCACAGTTACAGGAACTTGGTGCATGCTAGAATGGTGTTATAGTCGGCAAGGAAAGAATATCCTGAGAAGTAATGACGATTCTGTCAGAGAAAAATAAAACTGAGTCTGTCTCAACATAAATATGAAAGGCAAAACTACAACTCTGAGAAGAAATCATGAGAGCATATCTTTATAATTTGAAGGTTAAAGGGTTTTTTTAACCATTAAAAAACCAAACCATAAAGGAAAAAGTTGATGAATTTTCTTTATTTAATTTCTGGTATTCTGAAAAACATGATAAAATGAAAAGACGTGCCATAACCTACAAAGGAAGATTCAGGAGCAGGGTAAAGGAAAAACCTAATATCAACAAGAAAAAAACAAGCTAATAATAAGTTTTAAATGGACAAAAGACACGAGCCATTATCTGTGGTGGAAAACAAGGAGCAAGCCAGCTCCAGGGCAGGCCAGCTTTACAAGTAAATAGGATGTGCTTGTTGTAGTAATGATTCGATCCTGTTTTGTGCACATTGATCTGTGCACTCCTGTCTCAGTTGTTGCAGAAAGTAGAAAAAGTGCAGAAGTTGCTGGATCTTTCTATGAGGCTGTGAAATCTTAATTCCAAAACCAGATAAGGATGATTACAGAAAGCAATCAGTTTATACACTTACAAGCGAACTAAATGCAGAAATCCTGTAGAAAACATTTGCTAACCGAATCCAGTAGCACATTAAAAATAATTCATAACATTAAGTTATGGTTTTCCCTGGACTGCCAAGAAAAGTGTCCATGTCATTTAGGATATGTTAATAGCTTGAGCGGAAATCATTTGAGGCTTTTCATGATGCTTCTGATAAAGTTCCATACCCACATATGATTAAAACTGAGCAAAACAGGGACACTTCAGTGGCTCAGTCAGTTTAAGCATCCAACTTGGTTTCGGCTCAAGTTGTGATCTTGTGGTTGTGGGCTCGATTATAATAATATAATAATCATCACCTGCCACCAAGTCAGTAGCAAACTTTTGTAACTAGTAAGAGTTCAAAAAGCTGCTGGGGGAACAGATCAGTTTTAAACATCAGTAACCTTTCTCTGCATCAGTAATAAGCAATTAGGATGTATAATAACAGGCAAAATACCAGTCATAAACTACATCAAAGTTAAGAAAATTCCTAAATAATTAAACCCATTTATCTATAGAGAAAACTTGAAAGTGCCACTAAAAGCAGTCCCAGAAGAAGTGTAGTCACGTGGAGGCCACAGTGGTGAGCATGGCAGCACTGTGCATAGAGGGGCATTGTGAGAAGCCAGGTGGAATTGGGCAGTGCACACCATCAGGCACTGTGCCATTGACACTAGAAACACGTGGATCTTCCAGAGTATGTTGAGTTACAGAGATAAATACAATGAGGTATACAATTCAGAGCCACTTACTTGCCTCAAAATATGCATATGCAATGACTGTACATTTTATAAGAATGAAAGTAATACATAAACACATCAGGATAGTTGCTTTTCTGGGGAGGGCATGGATAATGAGGATAGAGAAGAGTAAGGTAGCTCAAGTTGTTAACAAATCTTTAGAGTTTAGTTCAAGTTCTTCCTTATAAATTGCCTAGACCCATCTGAAAGGCACCCAAGAGATCATCCTAAAATTAGGCTTTTCATAACCAAGTCCAGGGCAGGACTCCCCTCTTGAGAATGATGGCCCTTCCCAGAGGGAACCTCTAGCTGCCCTTGAGCTTATTTTAGTGCTGTCTTGATTGTGTCAAATGGGAAGTCCAGACAGAATAGCTAACTTTCTACCCCACAGTCAATCAAAAGCATTTGCTACTTGTCTTTTCCACCAAGAGCCAGGAGAGGGGGAGATAACCCTTCCTATATTTTTGTTTGCCCTCTTAGGATCAGCTTTTACCTGTTCTGGCTACTTTTTGGCTCTCCCTTTATGATGTCTATACTTCTCATGCATTGTCAGAAGGCATCCTGGTGCAGGCACCTGGTACCCTGCTCATATGATGGGAGCAGCAAGCTGAAGGGGTTGCTCCTGCTGACTGTTTAATGCTGGGCTGGGCCCTGAAAGCAAAATGCCTTAACTAAAGACTCATTCCTTCAAACAGGTTCATTTGACACCTTCACCGAGTCTGCAGTTCTGCTTATGTGCAGTCGTGGACATATTACCCCCCCACATTCCTCATTTATAGGAGTATTCTGAAACTCTTGTACATTTCTTTTTCTATTTTGCACACTTGGCTTCAGAGTGTTGAAATCCTATCGGTATGTACAGTAATGCGGGCCATTCTTTATCAGACACCAGCTGCATTACATTGTCCCTCCTTTGGTTGCCTCTTATGTGTGATCCTTTCCTTTTGTGATTTCCCAGTCACTGTCTGTGGTCCCTGTGGTCCCTCCCCTGAGCATGCTCAGCCCCAGGGCTTTACTCCATGGCACCCATGACTTCCAGGGTCATTTGCATGTGCCTTCACCCTCCACCCCTGCCGGTACCTGGGGTGCCTAACACTGCCTGTCCTCCTCTTTACTGCAGTGAGGAAGGAAAACTGTCTACCTCTCAAGATGCTGCTTGTAAAGATGTCGAGGAGAGCCCTGAGACAGCAGAGGTGAAGTCTGTGGGCCCCCGGCCCCCCAGCAGTAACCCAGAGCAGAGGTAACTCCTCACTTCCTCCAACCTGCCCAGGTCCTATTCTGACTGTCGCTGTTTTCTTCTGGAAGCTGGGAGGGAAGTTGGGGGAGCAGGAGAGATAGGAGTAGTCATTGTCCTCAGGGATTCAGTGACTTAGTATAGTAGCATTATCTTAGGCTACATCTATGCATAGAGGGCCAAGAACCTGGGCCAAGAACTCAGAACGGTTTACCTCCTTACCCCAAAAGTCAAAAACTGGTTTTTGGAGATTTGGTAATATCACTCGCTCTCTAAGAAATTCCTCAAAATGGAAGGGAAGGGTCTCCAATGCTTCCCCTGTACTTTTTTTTTTTTTTAAAGGAAGTACTAATTTGAGGCGGATATTGAGCCTCCCCTGGGATCGGGGGGCCACTAGGCTGTGGCAGCCAAGTTCTCATGGGGTCCACAAGATTACCAGCTGCCAGCCACAAGCAACCCCTGGTGGTACTCCTTTTCCCATAATCATGCACTTGTGACACATGGGGAAAGCCTTCCTGGAGACCCTTTTCTGTATGTTGCTAAATATTCTTAACTCAGATGATTCCCTGTATGGTTTTGTTTGTGCAAAATATTTGTCTTGATTACGTGTGATAATCCCACTGCCAGAGCTGAGTGATTTGGAATGTGATGTTTTCTTTCTAGTCACCTATTGCTTAGACTGAGCCAGTGGTCTGAAGGGATAGGCCAAGCCAAAGCCTCAGCCTCCGAGGGCCGGCGCCCTGGCCCATACACACGGCCTCGCAGGTAGAGCAAGGGCGGCCTCCGATTGCTCCAGAGCTCGCGCCAGAAGATGAGGATTTGCCCTTGGACCACAAGGAACTTTGCTCAGCACTTCCCAGAGTTAACTTTTTTTGTTATATATACCTAAGTTTGTACATTCCTTGCATAAGGAATAAAGTAATCTTTAAAGCCATTTCAGAAAAGCTGTCTTTCCCCCTCACCAGATCCTCACCCCCAAAATCATTGTCATGTTAGGGGTGACATAACCAGTGGGACCCAGCAGGGGGCACACTCTGTTCACTGGTTGAAAAACCTCTTTTGTGGCACAAAAGGCTTTTGTTTCTCATGGGAATTATAGCCAGAATGAGGAGTTTGCTTCTCTATGATTTAAAAAAAAATCTTGGTGTATAAAACAAATCAATTATAAAAACTATTTGAGCATGTTGGCTCTAGTGAAAGCTTTGGGAGGAGGAGGCGGCATGGTGACACTACAGCATTGATGGATCCGGCCCCAGGTATGCTTCTAAGTGTTTTGGGCAAGTCACCTTTTTTTGCCTGGGGTTTCCAGTGGATGTTTTTTCAAGGGTATTTTGTAGGATATTATTCCCAGTCAGTTATGTCCTTTCCCTAATTTCTGTCTACAACATTCCTTTATATTGAGATCTGTTTAGAAAGCAGGACAATCCAGGTCTGTTCCAATTTCGAGTTGATTCAGGAGTCTCTTCTTGGTTTCTCAGACATAAATGATACAGGAAGCTCTGGGATCATTTCCTTGGCTCTCTGGAGTGCAAAATTATTTGCCTTGGGGGAACCTGCTTGCTCTTCTACCCACCTAGAGACGTCTGGTGTGAAGAGTCCTGCCCCTCAATCTGCCGGACTGAGGTGGTGGGGGAAACACTGAGGAGGGCCAGTGGACGAAGACAAGGGCATCACGTGTGTCCATGCGTTCATCCATCTGTCCTTCCTCTACCCAACACACGTGAGTGTGGCAGCCAGTGGTCTAGGCCTGGGGGTAAAGCAGTAGCATAACAGACACCCAGATGATCTAGGCACATGTAGAAAGAGGTGCTGCTGGAGGATCGGGCCAGCTGGATGGGAGATCAGGAGTCCCACTTAGATGGGGCAGTGGAGAAGGCTGCTCAGAAGGTGGCATTGAGCTGCTGTGATGGCAGGGAGAAGGTAAGTGGTCCGGTGAGCCCATCTGTGTTCTAAGAGCAATGTACGGGAGGTGAAGAGAGCCACTGGGCCTTTCTGTCTGCACTTTTCCCCACGTGATTTGTGTCACAACCAGGTATCGGGGCCCCTTGGGTTGACAGGCGTGCACTACTGCACTTAATGGTTTGCACTGCCACCGAATTTAACTTTTTAACTATTGTTTATCAAGCACATGCCAGCCTGTATGCCAAGCACTTTGTATACATCACATACTCCCCCACCTTTAGGGGGGTTGTTGTCCCCCTTTCACAGGGGGAGGAGCTGAACTGGGAGAGGTTAGAAGATGGACTCGAGACCCGGCAGCTTGTGAGTGGTGATGGTGGGATTTGTACCCGGTGTGTCTGCTGGCAGAACCCCGGTCCCCCTGTCTCTGAGGTATGGAGACACCATGAATATAAGCAGAGTGCATTGCTTGTGGAGTCAGCTTTTTGGCTCTCTCTTACAATTAGCAAATGTCTGAAGCCTTGAGCTTGTGAGCTGTGAGCTGGTCCAGAAGTACCCATGTGCTTCTCAGTACATCTCTAAGCACCCTTTCCCAAGCCTGCTTTGTAAAAATCTGGGAATGCCGCCAAGACTGAGATCATGACCTGAGCCAAAATCAAAAGTTGGACATTTAACCAACTGAGCCACCCAGGCGCCCCTAGCATTCCCTCTTCTGTTCTCCCAACTTCAGTCCTAACACCTGCCTGGTGGGAGCACATTTGTTAAAGGACACGCCTGTTTTCAAAAGCTGGTCCTGTTTACAAGCCTTTTTTTTCCTCTTTCAGTAGAAGAATCCTGCTTTTCAAGTGTAATTTATGCGGAGTCCAATATATGGAACAAATAAAAAGCTGTTTGAAGGAGGGGATGAGCACATGGCTCGTGATGGGTCTGGGAGCAACAGTCTAAATACCACTGACCTGGTCTACAGTGTGCTTCTAGGAGGCCGAAGTGGGATGGTTTCATGGAACTCTGCTCTGCTACAGCCCTTGCTAAATGCCTGTTAACCAGAGCTGAGGTGAAGCTTAGGAAGTTAGATTTCCTGGAGTTTTTGATTAATGCATTTTTGAAGCATTCCGTTAAGTAACTATAAGTGCCAGGCTTTGTGCTAGACATTGCATAAACAATATTAAAATAAATGTTCCCATGCTCAGGGAGCTAAACCAAGTTGATTTTCTGCCTCACATGCCTCACATGTCTGTCTCTTCCTCTGCAGGACTGACCAGCCAAGCATGCCAGGCGACACATCCGTCAATGGCCCCGTATGATGAGTGACCCCTGCTGCTGCTGGCTGAGGACTGCAGGCCACCATCGTTCAGGGCCTCTGGAGACGTCACCTGGAGCCCACCAAGCCGTCACTGCTGCACTCACTCTGCAAGGGATCAGGACCAGCAACCTTTATATTCTAGATTCTAAGACATTGTACAGAGAAATCCAGAAGTGTAAAAATATTGCACATTGACAAATACCAAGAATTTTTGCGTATGTTTATATTGTATTGTTCTAAATAATGGGTAGCCTGTGAAATAAGATCGTGCCACCCATGTAATAATAGTAGTAATACTATAGTTAAAATGGCTGTAAGAATAGTTTTATAAAAGTGAATACACAGATCTATTGTATTTGAAACATAACTATTTGACAATTATTAGTGTGACCAAAGTATTAGGCAGTTTTCATACATTTTTCACCTTGTACAAAATTCTGAATTCATTTCTCTTCCAGGCTGGCAAGGAGATGTGGGGTTGAAATGCCCTCTAAGTGTTATTTTGGTTGTTCTAACTTACAAACGTGATTTTGAATAAGAAATATTTGGTGTTCTTTTTATAACCAGTTTTTGATTGGTAACTGTTTTCTGTATTGTTTTAAACGGATCAAAAAATGTAAGTCTATTGGTAGAGATTAAGTATTTATTGCTACAACTTAGTTGATAAATTGATGTTATTGTAAAGCCATATGTTCTGTTAAAGTCTTGTTTGCTTGAAATGGTTATTCCTACAGGTGAAACACTAGACTATTTGGAGTGTACATGGCTTGTGGTTTGAGTTCTTTTGTTTTTCGTTTTTGTTTTTGTTTTTTGTTTTGTTTTGGTAGTTCCTCTGCCCTTTAACCCATTCACCAAAATTTACCTTGTTAACAAGCATCACCAATGAACATTTCTGAGCAATTTGCATATTTAACAAACCTAAACCATATCAGGCAGGCCAGTCGAAGAATGCTCGTGCTACGGATGGATTACAGCACGTTCATTTTACAGGCTAGTGTTTCCAACTAGAAATCAAAACCTGGCACCTAAGCATGGTAATTGTGCTCCTGTACCTTGTGAGGTTTCCACTCGTAACTTCTAAACCAGTGTATTTTTTTTAGAACTGGTTTGTGTATATATATAGTGATTATGGATACTAATTCAATGTAATTTATAATTTTCTATGTCAATATAAAAATACATCACAGCCTTCTCAAACAGCTGAAGCAATATATCGTATATTGCCATATCGTCTGGGGAAAGGGTTAAATTTCTTCACCTCTTGCACTTTTAGATGCAGATCAGGTTTTCATTTCTGTAATAGACAACTATTCACGTATTTTTACATCATTTGTTTGTCCTGACCAGTATTTAAAACCAAAAGGATATTCTGAATAATGGCCAACGATTTTTTTAGAACTAGCATCCCAAGCAGCGTGCCTAAACATTACATTGCATATGGAAATAAAAAAAAAATCAAATGTTTAATGCCTTATTTCTTATTTACTTTTTCACTGTAAATGGTGTAGAAATTCTGTTTGAGGCTTACCAGGGCAGACCTGTCAAGGACAGTGGAGACTGTGGTGTGCCCTGGGATGGACAGCAAAGGTGCCTTACTTGGCCTTTGCGCGCCTCCTCAGGAACCCTTTCTGTTGTGAGCTCCTCTCAGAAGAGACTGTCCTCATGCATTCTCCTCTGGAACCTAGTGCCACCAGAGGACAGGGCTCCTTTCACTTGTCTCAAGGATGCTGACTTCCATGGCGCCGGACCTCGGGGACCGCTGACAGATGGTACACTATTGTCTTGCCTGGTGAAGAGCCTTGCTGGCCACCTCCAGGGCTTGGCTCCAGGGATGGCACTGCTGCCTCCACACAGTTTGGATTTGGTTGGCTTTTCCATCCCATCTAAGGTAACAGCATCTTGTTGCATCCCACCTACCACTGATGCCAGGGCACTTGAGTTTTTTCTTGGAGTAGTGTTTTGTTTAGTTTGTCTTACATGGGAGGGAAAGGACATAAGAATGAAAAGAAAGTCTGTTGGGGGTGCCAGCCCAAGGGCCAGGAGCAAGTACACTCTCATTTAGTCTCTAGTTTCTGTGTATTGGCCTCATTGAATTGCGAAGCTAACAGATGTCTACAATACAGTTACCTGTATTAAAAATAACTACAACAAAAATAAAGCCTAATTTTTTTGTTTCTAGAAATCTCTTGTACCTTGCTTGGGCTTTAATAACCAGACAAGGTATGTGGGGGCACCATTGATTTCTTTTTCCCTACTGTTTTAAATTTTTTATTTATATTCAGTCTAACTAACAATGTGTAATTAGTTTCAGAGAGAAAATTGAGTGGTTCATCAGTTGCATATAACACAGTGCTCATTATATCTCGTGCCCTCCTTCAAGCTCATCACCCAGTTACCCCATCCATCTCCCCACCCCACCCCCAGCAACCCTCAGTTTGTTTCCTAGAGTTAAGAGTCTCTTATAGTTTGTCTCGTCTCTAATTTTGTCTTATTTTTCCTTCCTTTCCCCTGTGTTCATCTGTTTTGTTTCCTAAATTCTACTTAGGAGTGTAATTATCTGATACTTGTCTTTCTCTGACTTATTTCGCTTAGCATAACATCCTATAGTTCGATCTGCATTGTTGCAAATGGCAAGATTTCATTCTTTTTTTATGACTGAGTGATATCTATCACATCTTTATCCATTCGTCTTTTTGGCTATTATGGACATTGCTGCGATAGCACCATTAATTTTTAATGGTCAGGGCTTCCTGACAAAGCTCACAGGCTGTATTTCATATCCCGAGTTAAGGGTATGCCATCCCTAGTGTCAGGGACTCATCTTGCCCACAAGTGTTCAGTGGGTGTACTTCTGACAGAATTGCCACTAGCTCTTTCAATGGTTTATCTGGTCTCTAGCTTCTCACCTGCTCCATGGGTTGCACTTCTCCAATCTGTATTCTTGGCTTCCAGCCCTACCAGTAGTGTGACTCTTCGGTGATAAAATTTCTCAGGTTTTCCATTATGATGTTTAACATGCAGTACTACCTCACAGCTGCTTGGTTTTCACTCTCCTTCCACCTGTTCACATAAACAAGTATGGTTCCTGATCCCCAGAACCTGTCTTCACCAGGGGTTTCTGTGCTGGTCCAGGCACATGCCTCTGCATACCAGGGCTCTGAGGGCATCCCTCCGGGTGATCAAGGGCAGGGCTCCAAAGACAGGGGCTTGTGTTCTCATTCCACCTCACCCTCTCATAAGGACTGATTTCTCTTTGTCTCAGCTGCTTTTCCTGCCAGAATGGGACTTGATAAATTTACAGGCCTAAAAGTAGAATTGTTCTTGCGTATGGTAAATGGTTAATAAATGTTAGTGTTAACTCTTTGCTTACTTCTCAGCCTCATAAAGTCACAGCTAACCTTTCTAATCCTGGCTTAGAACCTGCTGTTGTACTTAAAACCCGTGCCTCCTGAAAACTCACGCTGCTTCACTCCAGTCAGGTGGCTCCAGGGGTCTGCTACATCCCATGTGCCAGCTCAAGCCCATCACCTGTATTTACAGGTAGCTTTACTGGAACAGCGTATTCATATGCTGTTGATCACCACTTGACTCATTGCACACCCTGTGTTCTTTCTTCACTTTGATGTACTTTCCTCTTTCTCAATCTCACTCCCATCCGTGTAAATCCCTTTTCAGTCATTAATTTTCAGCATTCAGCATATGCTGGCTCCTTTTGCCTTCACCATCTCCACTAGTTACTCAGAACTTACCAAAGAGAGATGACACAGCGCTGCCTTTGCAGTGATCTCGATCCCCCCCCCCCCACCACCAGATATGTTCTGCATGCATCAAAGGCAAGGACCATGGCGACTGACAGTGCTGCTGCATGTTGCTTTAGGTGAGGCATTTGGTTTAGTTTGGTTTTGATTTTCCTGGAGGATTCTCTACTTGTTAAATAGAATAGAGAGTCCTTACTGTATGCCAGCTCTGTTCTAAGTGCTTTATGTGCATTCACTTTACTTCACAGTGGTTTTATGAGCTAGATAGCTGCTGTCATTTTATACATGCACAAGAGAGGTACAAGTGAACTGGTTTTTTTCCAAGGATGCCCAGCTAGCAAGTGACAGAGTTGTCAAGATTAAGTGTAACAATATTCTATGTAGTAGAATAATACTTGACTGTAAATGTGCATTTAATATTAGCTGTTAGTATACTCCTAGGCAAAGCCTTTTGCCTTGTTTTGTTTTGCTTAGAATTTGACAGTTTAATTTCAAAGTAGCACAACAAATGGAGATTGGCTGCATGGCATGTTTGATAGCCAAACAGTAGAAATGTTAACAAAGACTGAATAGTGCTCAAAACAGTTCTGAAGCAGATCAGTGTGCATGTGAGAATTAAATTTGAAGAGTGAACTCACAGGAATAAAGACCTTTAGGTGACTTCTGGGACTGCCCCCACCTGCTGCTGGACCTGACCCCCATTGGCTGTTCTCATGATCCACTGGTAGAGTTGAGTAGTTGCAGCTGAAACCATGGAGCCTACAGACCCCAGGATGACTCTTGGCCCCTTACAGAGAGGTTGCCAGCCCCTGAAGTAGATCAAGGAGATGGAGTAGAATCTGCAAATAGAACCACAAATGCAGTTACTTGGCTTTCAGCAGCATTGCCAAGGCAGTGACATGAGGAAGTCTTTTCAGCCCCTAACTAACAATTGGGGATTTGTATGGGAAGAAATGAACATTGACTACTACCATCCACCTTCTACAAAAACTAATTCAGAGTAGGTTCGAAGTCTTAAACATAAGCACTTCAGCTTCTAAAAGAAAACATGAATATCTAAACCGCTTTGGAATGAGCAAAGTTTTCTTAGAACACAAAGCACAAGTCACAGAAGAAAAATGCAGTGGGATTTTACCACAATGAAATTTTTCTGTTCTTCAGAATGAACAAGTAGGCCTTGGCCTGCCATGAAGAAAATGATCTCTGGGTGCCCTAATAAAGGACTCATCCCCTGAAGATAGAAAAATGCAAATCAAAAATAAGATGGAAAACCCAGTTTAACAAATGGGCAGGAGACAGCATCACAAAGAAGGTACATGAGTGGCCAAGAATATGAAAAATCATTCAGTGTCAATAGTCTTCCAGGAATGCAAATTAAAAACACAAAAAGCATTTCCCATCTGATAGAATGGTTAAAGTTAAAAAAAAAAAACAAAACTGATACCAAGTACTGATGAGAATGTAAAGCCACTGGGACTCACATTGCTGTCTAAAAGAAGGCATCCAACATGGAAATCTGTTGGGCAAGGTTCCAGTTTTTTAAATTGGGGCTATTTCTACCTTATGACTTGGCCATTCTAGATATTCATCCAAGAGAAATGAAAATTTTTATCCACAGATGATAGACCAGCATATTTATTGTTGCTTTATTCATAATGACAAAAGATTAAAAACATGTCCAAAAGCAGGAAAATGGTTAAGTGGGTTATGGCATATTAATACATAGAATATCACTCAGCAATAAATAGGAACTATGATAAGTGCAACATAGTATTATCAATCTTAAACATCAAAGGAAAAGAGCGAGACACGTAAGCAAGAGTACTTTATGTGAAGCTCTAAAACCAATCAGACTGACAAGGCTAGAAATGAGAACATGGTTTGTTCCTGAAGGAGAAGGGAGGGATTAACTGTAAAGGGGCCCAAGGAAACTTGGATCTTCTGTGATGGAGGTTACATGACTGTAGACATTTGTCAAAACTCACTGAACTCAACACCTGAAATCTATGCACTTTATTACACGTAATTTATACCTTAATTTTTTTTTTAAGATAGGGAAAAGGAGCAAAAAATAAAGCAAACACTGAACATCATTAGGGAGGACACATTGCCCTTGTCGCATGGTGACCAGGGCATTCCCTTTCCTCCCCAGCAGAAGAGAAGAGGCCAGATCTTGGTGGATTTGGGAAGAGGACCTGAGCATGCTTGGGTCAGCATTTTCTGGAATCCAGCCTAGATTTGTCTGCCCATGATATATTCTCGGTTACCCGTCACCATACAATAATCTTTCTGTCCTTGGAGATAGAGGTTTGCATTTGTCCAATGCCTGTTCCGGGTGGGTAAATGTGTTTAACCCAAGGATCAAGTGTTAGGAAACACCCAAACCATGTTCTTCAAAACAGGTTCATTAATAAAACGAATGTTGTAAATCCACATTTGCTGTGTCTTCTCTCCAAGGGGATACTTTACAAAATTAGAGGGGGGCAGTGTTTATTATCTTCACTAAAACTGCAACCAACATTTTGTTGCAGGAAGCTTGCAGTGGGGGAGTGGCATGAAGGTGGGGCAGAGTTGTCCCACCTTTGCTTCCCTTTCCTTGGGGGACAGCCACACAATGGTTGACTATAGTTTCATGGTGAAGTCTAATGGACTAAAAGGATCAACAAGTGGGCAATATTGGGGATCATTGTTTTTTCTCCTGGCCTCATTTCTCTGTGGGATCGTATTGCTACACTGACACTCCTGACCTCTCTCTAATCTCACTCTTAGGGGAGGAGAGAGTGATTGATTAATTGGGAAAGGATCTGCATTTTTGGTTCAATGCCTGATGTGCTTTTTTTCACGTTTGCCAGCCTACTGAGGAGTACGTTCTAGCTTGTTGTCTATGTATAAGCTCTGTCCCTCTGGACAAAACCTGTGGTTGTACAGCTCTGCAAGTAGTCAGGTGTGTGATTCTGCATTGGGAATGAAGTATTCACAAGCCCATTTAGCCACACATCTCAAGCTAGACTTTCTAACCAAGTTTTGCCTTCCACATTATAATCCTCACCTATTTCTGAACTTCCAGGTAGAGAGAAATGGTTTCCCCTAATCTTCCTCCCAAACAAAAATAAGAAAGGATATAATCTGTTACATCCAATCTAGATTGTCTTTTTAAAAGACAGATGGTCAGACTGGGATTGAAAATAAAACCAGCAGGATCTCTGGGTGGCTCAGTGGTTTAGCGCCTGCCTTTGACCCAGGGCGTGATCCTGGAGTCCCGGGATCGAGTCCCACATCAGGCTCCCTACATGGAGCCTACTTCTCCCTCTGCCTATGTCTCTGCCTCTCTCTGTGTGTCTCTCATGAATAAATAAATAAAATCTTAAAACCAGCAATATATTGTTTATATGAAAGACATAAAAGTGACAAAAGCCAAAGATAGAGGAAAATGCAAACGGAAGACAATATTAAGTTTAGGATTTAAATTTAAAACCGCTGGGTAAGGTTAAGAGATGGTGCATCAAACCATAAATACGGTAGCTAAGTAATTATTAGAAATTGCAAAGAGGGATCCCTGGGTGGCGCAGCAGTTTAGCGCCTGCCTTTGGCCCAAGGTGCGATCCTGGAGACCCGGGATCGAGTCCCACATCGTGCTCCCGATGCATGGAGCCTGCTTCTCCCTCTGCCTGTGTCTCTGCCTCTCTCTCTCTCTCTCTCTCTCTCTCTCTCTCTCTCTCTCTATCATAAATAAATAATTTTAAAAAATTGCAAAGAAAAGGACTTAAGTTTTCAGTTATCGGAGTGATTTCATCAGTTTAAACATCCTGCAGACAACAATAGAACCTCTAAAATCTTGTGTTTGAAGGCAGTGAGTAGAGAGCAGATAGGCTAGGCTGCATGTGCTTGAAGGGCCAGGGTCCTAGAGAGAAAGGAAATGCATCAAAGTGAACCTGACAGTCCATGCCGCTTTTCACCTTGTGGACTTAGCTGATTAAGTATGAGGAGCAGCAGAAAGTAGAGGCTCAAAGCTTTCAGCCCTTACAAGGCTGGGGAGACAAATTGGAGCAGATAGCCATGAAGGAGGCCAAGACCGACAGCACGGGATCTTGGGGCAAAGAGACATGAGTGAGCCTGACATTCACTACATAACCTCTCGAGGCCTTTGATGATTCCTAAGCTATGCAGGGAGAGATGCTACAAAGCCAAGCAGAAAATAGCTGAGAAACTAAGAGGCTAAGAAGAGCCTTTAGGCAGCTCAGTGCTGGGGAGGCAGAAATTGGAGTTTAGGGACTTCAAAGGAGGAGGGACTCGTGAACATGTTGAAACCACCAAAGGACTACACTCCAGGGGTAAGGGGACAGCAGAGACAGAGCAATCTTAACTACTGGAAGAAACAAATCCCCTCACGAGGACAACTGTATCATCCAAAAAACCGCTACCATTTTCCATACACAATGTTGGCATTGAGTAAAAACTTAGATGTGCCAGAAGACAACACGTGCTGAGTGATTGAAAATTGGAGAAAGCGGGGGTCCCTGGGTGACTCAGTGGTTGACCACCTGCCTTTCCCCCAGGCCTTGGTCCTGGAGTCCTAGGATCGAGGCCCACATCGGGCTCCCTACATGGGGCCTGAATCTCCCTCTGCATGTGCCTCTGCCTCTCTCTCTCTCTCTCTCATGAATAAATAAATAAATAAAATATTTTTAAAACGTTGGAGAAAGCAGGTGATACAGATCTTGGAGATTTTAGATTTTAAACTATTAATATATTCAAGACAATAAGTGTCCAATTGGCGAATTTAAATTATATATTACAAAAAAAATAACTGGAATCTATTACAAAGAAAAAATCAAACGGAAATTCTAAAACTGAAAGGTACAATAATTTAAATTAGGAACCCCATAAATGAATTTAAAAGGAGACGGGACAAAGCAGAAGATAAGATTTAGGAACTTATGATAGGTCTGTAGAAAACAGGAAAACAAGTGTGGAGAGGAAAAGGATGGAAAATCCAGAAAAGCACCTACAAGAGATAGAGGACACAGCAAAAAGCTGTAGCAAAAAGCTACATGTATTTGGAGTCCCAGAAAGTGAAGGGGATAAGAATCAGGTGGAAGAAACACCAGTAAGACTTTTCCAAAATTAACCAAAAGACATAAAGCTTTACATTCAGTAAATTCTCCAGATGGCCAAGGAGGAAAAAATATGAGAACCACAACTACCAAACCCCAGAGAAAAAGACATTGCCTTCAATAGACATATTACTTTTCCTCGGAACTTTTGAAAGTGAAAAAGTATGGAGTGACATTTTATGCACTGAAAGAAGTGCCAACCTGGAAACTCTATGCTTAGCAAGTTATCCTTCAAAATGAAAGAAAAATAAAAATAATTTCAGAAAAACAAAAACAAGAGACTTCAACATCAGCAGAGCTGCGTTGAAAGGAATGTTCCCAGGAGAAGGAAATCCAGCTGGAAGTGCTCTCACTTCTTTCCAGAAAGAGAAATAAGTGACAAAAAGAAATTAATATGCCTGTGTCTTGTGGAGGGGTGGAGGAGGTGAAAAGATACTTGGATTTAATATAATGTTGGGAAAACCGGATATCCACATACAAGAATGAAATTAACCCTCACTTTATACCATACACAAAAATAAACTTGAAAATAGATCAAAGATTTACCTGCAACTGTTAAAGTCCTAGAAGAAAACACGGGTAATGTCTCATGACATTGGTCTTGGCAATGATTTCATGGATAGGACACCAAAAGGACAGGCAACAAGAAAAAAATTACAAGTAAGATTACATCAGATTCAAAAGCTTCTGCACAGCCAAAGAAGCAACATGAAAAGGTAACTAGGAATGGAAGAAAATGTTTGCAAATGGTTGATAAGGGGTTACTCTCCAAAATGTATAAGGAACTCCTACAACAGTAGTAAAAAGAATAACCTGATTAAGAAGTAGGCAAAATGGGACAACTGGGTGGCTCAGGGGTTTGGTGCCTGTCTTTGGCCCAGAGTGTGACCCTGGAGACCTAGGATCAAGTCCCTTGTCGGGCTCCCTGTGAGGAGCCTGCTTCTCCCTCTGCCTGTGTCTCTGCCTCTCTCTCTCTCTCTCTCTCTCTCTCTCTCTCTCTCTCTGTCTCTCATGAATAAATAAAATCTTAAAAAAAAAAGAAGAAGAAATAGGCAAAGGACCTTAATAGACATTCCTTCAAAGAAGACGTGCGAATTACCAATGGGGTATATGAAAAAAAAAAATGTTGACCTCACTCATCATCAAGGAAGTGACTATCAAAACCACAATGAGATACCACCTCATACTGTCAGGATGGCTCTTAAAAAAAAAAAAAAAGACAATTGTTGGAGAGGTGGAGAAATTGGAACCCTCAAATGCTGTTTGTAGGAATGTAAAATGGCACAGCCACTATGGAAAACAATATGGAGGTTCCTCAAAAACTAAAAGCTAGAACTATCATATGACCCAGCAATCCCATGTTATTTATCCAAAAGAATTGAAATCAGGGTCTCAAACGGATATTAGCACCCTCATGTTCATGGCAGCATTATTCACAATAGCCAATATGTGGAAATAACAAATGTCCATTGATGAATGAATGAATAAAGAAACTAGGTCATGTATATATACAATGGAACACCATTCAGCCTGTCAAAACAAGAAAATTCTGTAATCTAGGACAACATGGATGAACCTCCAGGACATTATACTAAATGAAATAAGCTGGTCACAGACACAGATTACATAATTTGTCTTAGATAAGGTAATGAAAATAGTCATATTTATAGGATCAAAGTGTGGAATGATTGCCAGGGGCTCTGGGAGGTCCTTATCAGTGGGAATAATGTTTCAGTTAAGACAGATAAGCTCCAGAGATCTGTACAACATTGTACCTTTGGTTAACAATAACATATCCTACACATAAAAATGTACTGGAAGAGTGGGTATCATATTAAGTGTTCTTACCAAACTTAAAAAATGTGTTTAAGCAAGTAAATGTCTAATTTTACTTGTAAAAAACTCCACATTTTTTTTAATTTTTATTTATTTATTTATGATAGTCACACAGGGAGAGAGAGAGAGAGGCAGAGACACAGGCAGAGGGAGAAGCAGGCTCCATGCACCGGGAGCCCGAAGCGGGATTCGATCCAGGGTCTCCAGGATCGCGCCCTGGGCCAAAGGCAGGAGCCAAACCGCTGCGCCACCCAGGGATCCCAAAACCCCACATTTTTAAAAAAGAGATATGTGACCATAACACAGAAGGCAGAAGGTACACTATTTACCTTTCAAAATCCTGGCATTATCTAGTTAGTGTTGAAAATACTAATTATCCTCTGATAAGGATGCAAGATATACTCTCTAGGGTCACCACTAAAAAAAAAAAAAAGGTGTAACTAGAAGTTACTATAGAAGGGACGCCTGTGTGGCTCAGTCAGT